TTTCACATCACGTATTTTATTTTCAAGAAACGTGACTTGCTCTTGTTGCAGGCATATTCAACATTCTTTAGCACCATATCTGAGGGCAACAATAAAAGCATTTCTTGCATACGTTATTTATAGACGCGTATTATCTACCATTTCCCGACCTTTACGATAATGATATTGGCAAGGTTATAACGGTTTCATTGACCCAAATCATTTGGTCTTCACATGTTGTCCTTTTTCTCTTAAATAATAAAATAAAAATTCGTATCCACGTGAGAAATCTTATGATAAAATTGGAAATCATCGATTACAAAATCTTTTCATAATTGTTATTTAAGTGGCGCACGCAGCTCGTTACGGGTGATTTCTAGTCACGAAAGTTGACCCGCATGACTAAAGCACATGCAGCAGCAAGCAATCTACTTGGTTATCGAACTACACTAATAACAGATTAAATATGACTTTCTTTTTTTTTATTATATTTTTACGGAATTAGACCGAAACTAAATTTATTCTATTTTATAACATTATTTAGGTGAATAATAAGTCAATTTATGAGGTGACTTCAATCGAATATCACTAATTTTCGTCTCAAGATAGGATCTGGAACTAGACTGGCCAAATTCTCAATTACAAGGAAATGTCTAAATATACACTGGCAAAAGTCTAAACTGTAGTTGAAAGCTTACAATTGTATTGGCCAAACACTAAACTGTAAGAAAATGTCTGGAACTAGACTGGTCAAATTCTAAATAATAAGGAAATGTCTAAATATACAGTGGCAACACTCTAAACTGCAATCAAATGTCTGGAACAACGCTGACCAAATTTTTAGACTTTAGAGATGTTTTAATTATTAAGGGAGACTTGGTGTTGCATTATACCAGATTTTGTGTTTCTAAGTTAAATAACTTTTATTACAGAAATTGTTAAACCGCCTATTTGACATTTGATGACAATCGATTTACAGATAAAAGATGTTTTTTTATTATTATCCACTTATTAAGACAGGTTTAAGTTTATGTTATATCAAATTTTAAGATTTTAGGATCATCAATTTTAGTTATAAAAACTTTTTAAACATAAAAAACGTACAAAGTTGTTAATAACATTTAAATACATTCATTTTCCCGCTCGAACGTGACGTCACATACGTTTAAATACTATCCAAGTATTCGTATTGGTTCTTTGCAACCATAATGGCGGAAAGTAAATGGTAACCAATGGCAACCAACGCGTAACCAAGCAACGGACAAAATCGTGTTGACTACCATCAAAAATATTAGTTATTTTGAATAACTTTTATTACAGAAATTTGAAACGATCTAAAAATGTTTTAAAGAAAAAAATTGCAAATTTGTTCATAACATTTAAATACATTCATTTTCCCGCTCGAACGTGACGTCACATCCGTTTAAATGCTTATGGTAACCAATGGCAACAAACGCGTAACCAAGCAACGGATATCGTGCTGACTACCATCAAAAAAATTACTTTTCAATATCGTTTTTTTGACGTAATGATGTATAAATAAATGATGTGGCCTTCCTTTAACATAATAACTTTTAAGAAAACCCCCATAATGTGCTACTTACATTAATTGAAATTAAATCACAAGATTTTTGAAACCAAAATATTAAATAATGGTGGAAAATGTCATCAAAATGTCCCAAAATTCTTCAAAAAATAGTGTCAGATTAATCTGCAAGCACTAAACTTGATGACAAAATCTTATGTGCTGTTTGAATTGCGGAAGAGACAATTTGTGGCGGTGTGGTGATAGCCGATTTGATATGATGCTCCCCGAAAGATGGAGTCAGGGGTGATAACAAAGACTCAAAAGCAGATGGATCACTAAAATGATCAAAAATGTTAGTAAATGTTCTTGCTGGAGTTTAGTACAAGAAGTCGTGAACCCTTTCAGGAGTTTTTGCAGCGGCAAACAAGCGGCTGTCGAATATACATATACGATATTGTGGAAACAGTTGTTTTTATTGAAGAAATAATCAAACAATACAAAATTAACTGAATGCTATATATTATATAATATTCTTGGTAAAGCAAGAATAAAAGAACAAAATAAACAAATGACAAAAATATTAGAGACAAAATATCAATGATATCAAAAACTTAGTAGTCCAAATATAAGTTTTCTGGTGTATCCTTTTTCCCCCGTTTCTACTACTACTACTAATATTTGATCTGCTCGTGGTATATTTGGAAACATGGCACAACACAGAGGCCTGCTCCACAATCTTTGCACATGAACCTCGATTCTTTCCTTTTTTTCACCGTGTATTGTATGGGAGCAGATCCAGCATTACCTCATTTGTGCTTTCCCATTTTTGCGAGGAATTTCTTATAGTCTGACCACTTTTATTTTATTTTGTAAGTTTTTATCCTGTAGTCCACTATTAGAGACGTCAAACTGGTGTACTTTAGAGACAAACTTACGTGAATCCAATGTTAGCTGAAATTCCGCCCGACGTATATTTTGATCAGAGATATCCAAAGCTACTACTTCATCTTCCAACAAGGTTTCGTCGTCTTTTCCAAAGCTCAATTTATTCTCAGAGTCAGGCACCATCGTTCAGCGCATTCCTAATATTTCTCACTTCCTAGACAGTCCACAATAGGCATTATAGTCCGACGGACCTGCGTTCGGCAACAGACTGGTACTAAATACACGACAATGTTAAATATCTACGACATCCATCTGTGTGAAAAACACAAACCGTCGGAACTGATCGTCAGTGGGCCAAATTAAAAATTTAGGTACGTCCTATTAGACGTCCGGAAGGAAAATGAGCTGCTGTCGGCTGTATACGACAAAAGTGGTTTCCAAAAAAGTTGATGTCACGATGTTCACGAACCTTCCTCAATATTCTGCAGTAATGTGGCAGTATTTAAATACAAAGATATTCCAGAAATTGTGAATTCAGGCGCCATCTCCAACATGGCGGCGGTAACGGTCATCTCTTGAGGTTGAAAACTCAGGGTCGTCATAAAGACGTCAAATTTTAGGATCCTACCGCATTTTATCTTTTTCTGGGCGTTTTCTCAGCAAAACTATCCAATGCCTGTACTGCTTATATAACTATGTTGCATTTTATATGGAGCAGTGTAAGTACATAGTAGTTACGAAACTATGATTACTTCGTTCATATATTGCAAGATATATGAAATTCTCGGTATACGACAATCGTCTTAAAAGGGTTAATTAAGGGAGTTTAGAACGTATGTATTATTCTTGGTTTTACCAAGTTCAAGTCATCAAAATTATTATCAGTTAAATCATGGTGTCGGTTTATTGATGGCTAAAAGAGAACACTACGTTCCAGTTTTTGCCGTTTGATAGTATTGAATATGGAAAAAATGTAATGAAATATGTAATCTTCAGATCTCAAAAGATCTTCAATACTCAATAGTTTACAAAAACTTCTCTTTGAATCCTAAATCTTCAGCTTTCAGTAATTGTTATGCCATGTACGGAAGATTCTTATTAGCTTATAACATTAACAATCATTAACTCATATTTATTTCTGCTTAAATGTACTGGTCATGTACATGTTTACAAAAAATGGTTAATCGAATATAACTTATCATAAAGATAACCTAAAATCAATTTTGCACTTAACTCATACCAAAAATGACTTTTATTCGACTTTAAACTGAGAATTCGAAAACAAATCTAATCAATAACGCGATAAAGCCACGCAAAACTTTCAAAACTTCACCATCATAACAAAAAAAAAACAATACAATCTGAAAGGTGTTGCGTAAAATCTTTGTGACCTTATGTAACCTTACACAATTACTCTTGCGCAAAAGTGTGACAGAACGGCGATTTGATGGAATGCGTCGGATAATTTCACGAATAATTAAAGGACTTAAGTTTTTCATTCTTTACTTTTTTTTTAAATTACCGGGGATTATTGATGAGAACTGGCGCCCGTCTGGTCCAAATAAACAAAAACATCTAAATTAAAGATAAATTACTTACAATTACCGTAATTTATTTCGAGAAACACGTTATTATCGTTATTAGGCAAATCATTTTTTTAAAGCGTCACATTTTATAATTATAAATTTTAAAGCCCCCCTAAAAAAAGTATAGAAATCGTTATACCTTGGTAATAATAATAAAAAGCGATACACGATACAGGTAATATGGTCGTAATCTAAATTGTCGAGTTTTATCTCTCGGAGCAAATAAGATTGTGTTTACACTTTAACGTGTTCAGGTACAGCACAGACCAAGATTTATCAATATAGATTGCATTCTTTGTGCAAATAGAAATCCAATTAAATTAATGATGATGAGAAATTTCAAATTATAACTTAACGTTTCGTATTGAAATCTGACGTAAAATGTCAAAATTGACGTTCATCTTGTAAAAAAAAATTATTCCACGAAATATGTAAATTATTATGATTGTTACACTCAGTTATTAAAAGCGTATAATGAGGTTTATGATTCCGTTTCATTTTTATGAATTTCATTAACACATTTTCGTTGATGGTGTGCTTTCGAAAGATTGGTCATCTAAATATATATTTACACACTTGAAAGTGAATAAGGAAAGCTGTCGAGAAAGCGTAATTTTCGGCAGATGCGTTTAATCTCCTAGAAAATTGTTTAATTAGCTTAAATAATTTCGAAAACGATTAATAAACGTATAAAGATTATAAATTGCGGTTAGAAAACGTTATTAATTTTTATGAAAACAAAAAGAACGGATGTTGCAATATATCGGAATTGTTTAAAAAAAGTGTTTGTAATGAACAAACAAATTTGTTATTAATTCCATTGTATCATTGTAGAAATACTTAATTCCGCAAAACAATGCGCATAGCATGTGTAAGGCAAACATGGTTTTTAAAACCAGGTAGAAGTTGACTAAAACCGTCTTTTTCTTTCATTCTTTCATCACGAAACCCTCCAGTTGTAAAAATCCTTACTTTTCTTTCAAAATAATTCATAGAATTGAAGAACCTGTTACTCATCTTACCTGTTATCTTCTTTTGGGATCGTTCAACTGACACAATCCGAAGAGGTAAAGTATCCTCAATATCCAGAGAGTTCACACTGACAATAATGAAATAATAGAGTTAAAACGAACAAAATTTACAATAAAGAAACAACACAGTTTAAAATCGATTGATTTCACACTAAAACTAACAACAATACAATAAATGTTTATTTTCACTAAATCATTGAACGTTTTCGAACAAACGAAACGCGCAACGAACAAATGAACCACACCGATCGGAGGTTGTTTGAAAATTGCCGACCAAGCGGCAATTTCAGCGGACGCTAGTTGATTCAAACTGTGCGCGCGCAACATTCCGGAGACTCCGGGGAATCCAGACTTAAAGAAATTTACTTTTATTTAAAAGGATTTCTTATAATTTTTGGTTAATAAACCCGAATTTCAAACAAATGTCATTTTTATGTCAAATTGACTTATTTAAAAGTATAAATCATCTAGCATTCTAAGAATGAACTTATAGTTAAGGATACCATCAAAACTCATCTTTTTTTAATGATTATCAAACAATAAACACATACGGAGAGCACATTTTCCCGGAGCGGTTTACGTCACCGTTCCATTTGGCTTTATTTTCTTAATTGTACCGCCGCCGCTTTTGTGTTCCACTCTTTCCTTCTACTCCAGAGAGTGCATTACAAGAAGAGAAGACGTGCACGTCAAGAACACGTGACGAACGACGACTGCAAAGTTATCTCTATATGTGTGTGTCCCAGACAGTCACATCTCTTTATAAAACTTCTTTTCTTATTCGGCGTGGCAAGTTTTGAACTTGTGGTTTTCAAAACCGTGGAAATGTTCGCAACCTAGTTTCCTTTCATCTTTTAGTTTTGTTTTACTGCGAATACCATTCTTCATTGTTTATTGTTTTCTTCCTCGTTTTAGTACTTTTAAGTACTTTTAACAGTTAACAGGTTAAAGATTTTTCGGGCCCGCTAAAAAACAAATAACACGTTAGATGCCAATTTCATTTTAATAAACATTATTTTCCATTAATGTCAAGGTGATTAACGCCTACAAGATTTTATCACTTTTCTCGGTTGTATTAAATTCCTTATAAGAACAAGCTGTGTTGAAAACGACAAATTGGGTGTAGTTGTAACAATTCAAACTTGTTGACATACGTTTGCCATAAAATTTCCTCACCCCGTTTTAAACCGTCTTAAAACCTACGAGACTGCGTCGTGTTTATTTATCTTCCTGCCCGGTTTAATAAAGATAACGTTACGTTTTACGCGTCTTGTCCTTACGTGGATATTTTTAGTGAGGAGGCCGTTACACTACGCGGAAATGTTAAGGAGGAGCTGTTAGTTTCTTTTAGATCTCCAAAACTTTTCAAGTAAAGATCCGGAACGAAGAAAAATCTAAAATTTAACTTAACCTTAAAAGGAATAAATTTTGTGCTGTCACTGTCAAGTGTCAACAATTATACCAACTTGTTTTGTACAAATCAACCTAAATAAATTGAGTTTTTTATTAACGAATTTTTAACCGGTTTCAATGATTTAATTTAAATTATTAGATTTAATATAATATTTAATTTGTACGACTTAAATGTGTATTTTTAATTAATTAAGAGTGAATTTAAGAAAAAATTATTAAGATACTTTGATTTTTGAATTGCCATCTATTATCATAAACATGTATTAGATTTTGACGTTTATATAAAGTGTCAAATTTTTGAGTTCTTAATATTGGGTACATTTTTGCGTTTTGATGAATCTTGAGGCACGCGGAGCCTAATATACCATTACATTAACTTTCTTTGAACCCTAAACTTTCGAATGCGACCATTATTTAGGGTTCACAAAGGTAAAAAGCTTTGAAAGAGTATTGGCGTCGTTTTACCTTATTTGATTTGAGTTGATTTAACGTTTTTTTGTTGGCTTTTTAAGCATTTAAGGTACGTGGACTTATTTTATAATAACGTTCCAATTACAACATATTTTTTTTTAGTTTGAGTCGAAATTTGAGTCATTATTTGTTGAAATGACATCTCATAAGAACACAACCTCAATTTTTTTTGTAGGTTATCGATTTCATGGTAAGTTTTTAACCATTGTTACCGGTTTTAAGTAAAATTTTGTTTTCTATAGGTGCTATCTATCATCAAGGACGTTTTCTGCTGTTTGGGGTCTTTTTGTAGAATTAGGTAAGTAAAAGGAAATATAACTGAATTAAGAATGGCTTGATGTCCTCAGAGGAAGAACACAACTTTTCGTACTTAAACGTTCCCTATTTGCACGTTTGCAGAAAAAGTCTTCCATAAATAAACAGAAATTAATGTTTTTTGCATGGAATTTTATCATGGATAAAGCTGAATTAATCGTAATCGTTTTCCAAAAATATCATAAAATTTATCATTCTGATTAATAATTCAAATCAGCGATTAAACAGGTGTTTCCTCGAATTAAAACATTTGTTACAAAGTCACGGGAAATCCGTTTAAAAAGCGATTACTCTTTTTTTATGACATTTTTGTCTTATCAAAGTTCCATTTATAAATTTTCCTTTTATAAATCATAATTTTTGAATAACCAGATTTAAGAATTCCGTTTAAATTTAACAAAAACGTTGTTCGTAATGACACTGTATTTTATAGATGCGCAATCTAAATAATTTTTTGCCTGGCTCATTTTACATGTAAAAATTTAAATAGCTATGACGCATTTTGGATTATTGAATCACCATCGCGTCGTTATTAAGATGTTTACATACTTCACGATCGCGTAAGATCAACTAATTATTCAAATGAATTCAGATCGAATCCTTCCTTACACTTTCTTTTTAGTACTTTTGCGGTCAATTATGTGGCTCGCAGACGTCGTATTCAAATGAGATTGTCGGCTTCGTTTTCAAATCTAGATCACCTGTTTTTTATTATTATTATTATTTAACCGGGATTAAGTTTCAATTTAGATTTGTCCTCGTTTTAACCTTTAAAAAATAATTAGTTCATCAAATAAATCTTTAATTTTTATCTTTCCGTATAAAATTTTCCATGCGTCGTTGCTAGCTTGTGGATAGAATTTTGAATCGATGATTTCATGGACGCTCGTGGCGTACAAGTAATACCTATAATTGATGTTTGCTTTCGACGTATAACTTACGTGCACCATTAGCATCTTCAAGGTTACACCGTAAACTGAGACGTGTGTAAACTTTTTTTTATTTTTACTTTAATTTGGACCCTTATTTGCTTAACTTGACGCGGTTTGCTCGTGATAAAAAATTCACCCTTTCTATAAACCGATAGCGAACGTGCGCAATTACCCGTGAACCATAAAGGGGGACATCAAGTGAACCGTATTATTATTAATCCCTACCTACAGGGTGAAGTGAAGTGAAAACATACAAAATTTAATCAATTTTAACTATATTTAGATTTTTTAGATGATCGCGAAGTTGGAAAAAAGAATATTTAGCCGTTAAAAATCTCGCCTTAAAACTCCCACTCGCCCAACCTGAAACGATTTTAATATGGGCAAGAGCTCACTTTCGAAACAGGTTCTGGGTTCCTCAGGTTCATGGTCACGTTCAACTGGAAGGCAGAGAGGAGCGTACCTTTACATACTCACATCGTTGATACGCTGCAGATGTCACAGCGGGTTTTGCAAAAGAAAATTCTTAGATTTTTTTTTATTGAAACACATTTTTTAAATGATGCCCTTTAACTTTTTACCTTGCTCTTTGCAGACACAGAGAAAGTCTTCGCCTCTTGTAAAGGGAAAGTGTTTGGTGACTCATGAGGAACAATATCGTAAATTAAAATTGTGGGACTGCCAGTTGCCAACAGTTCTTAACCCACATTTTAACTTCATACACAACAGTTACGAATTGTAATCTAAGGTCTCATTTGCAATTCCCAACTTCAATTTAATCTTGAATACTTGAATAATAGACCAAGAGTTATACATCTCTCTAGGAATTAATGTCATTAAATGTTATTATCAAATAATTAAAGAAAGAAAGGTAACTTTTCCTCGACCCACATGACATAAACATGTTCGTATTGAATCGAATCGGTGTCTATTGCATATACAGGATCTACATATAAACGTGAATGGACATATCGTGGGTAGTTTCATTCAGTGCAGTAAATATGTTCCAGCATTTAATAACCGCGGGGCGTCGCATGAAACCGACGTCCAATCGACCGAATGACATCGCAAACAATGTCCGTCGCGACGCCAGCCGTTACATATTAATCTAATCGATGAGGTATGTAGCCGTTGTACACAGTGAACTAAACCATACCGAGATATTAAAACCATATCATAAAGTATTTTAAATCACGCCATATAATTAATATATCAACATTATAATTAATGAGAAAACTCTATAAAAGGAAATGTTGATTTTAATTGAATATAGTTGATTTTAGGGCGTGTTCAAAGAACGCGTTTCGTTCTTTCAAAGCAGTTCACGATAGTTCACAGTTCAAGCGCAAAACATCGTGTGGGACCCGTTCCGCATATTGTTCTAAGAATTTTTCACGTCGTAATCAGTGACTCACAAAGCGTTCGCTCATCGAAACAACGAGCATCGAGGCTGTGTGAGGAGGCTATTATTGCTCGCCCGATATACCCTTGTAAAACCAGTAAAACATAACACAGAATGCGTTGTGCTCTCTCGGCTCCAGTTTCCAGGGTTTAAATCTGCGCTAATTAATGAGGTCATTTCCGCCCGTTAACTCGACCTTTGTCTTAATTGTTTATCTGAGCTTACGTCTTATAATCGCGTGTGAACGAAATATGAATCAATCTAAATATTTATGTTTTAGCGTAAACTCATAAACTGTACGGATCAAAATATTTATTTTAAAAAAATCATGGCCACTGCCATTATGGTAAATAAATAAATTAATAGATAAAGTTTGAGCAAACACGTGATATAAAATGTTTTGCATAGAATGTGCACTATTAATATACATTCTAAAACGTCAGCTAAGAAATTCTGATTCTTGGTAGTCGTTTGAAAGTAAAATTACTCGGCCACAGAAGTTTAATAATAATTTTAATACGTTCCACACTGTTAAGCTTTTTTAACGGACACGTTAACAAGCCGTGGTCTATTTAAATTGTGAACGGAATAAATACCGTTATTAGATTTTAGATAGAGTTTAAACTGGTTAGCTTTTTTCAAATATTTTTAATTTATTTTTTTTTGTTTTCTTAAGTTGTTTGATTTTTTCAACAACTCCATTTCTTTTGATAGGTTTTAATCGTGTTAATAAGTCGATTCAGTTCCTGGTAAATGCATTATGGTAGTATATTTCTGGATGTTGTATAGATCATTCCTATACTAAGTAGGACGCAAAACTGGGATGTTGAGATCTGAATTCTCGAAAATCAGAAAGATAAGAATCTTAAGTAATCGGATGTTATGGATTTGGAAAGCTATATGAAAAATTCGCAGAGTAGGAACCAGAATAAAAATAATTTTATGCATCATCCATGCAAAATAGTGATGCGTCTATATATTTAAAGAGATGATTCTACATCAAAAATCATGCAGAAAAGTATATATAACGTCCGGTCCGAAAATGCTTCCTAAGAGCGCTAGAGCCCTAAAACCAGTCGTTTCCAAAAAAAAGTGCATTAAACGATTTGCAGCATAAGTAAAAGTACAAAATTTATTTTTTCTAAATATCCTAGAATCCTAGTTCTTTCATATTAAAGGTTCTAAAAAAGAAGTTGTATGTTCGGAAATACTTCTGCATACAATCTCCGAGCATTTTCATCGGCCTTACTATACATAAAATGGATGTTGGTTTACTCTTCGAATAAATATTCGACCATTTTGAGAATTTTAATAGCAATTTGAATTCAAAAATAGGTTTTATTCATCGTTTAACAGTAATAGGATATTTACTAGGGTATTTAGAAAAATATTTAAAAATTGATTTTAATGCCGTAAATCGTATAATGTAATTTTTTTTGGAAACGACTGGTTTTAGACAATTTTTTAAGTAGTACCTTTTTTATGTATTTTTTTCCGCAGAATTGATTGATGCAATTAAAATGGCAGAAAGAATTAAGATAAAAAAAGTATGGTACCGTAAACGCGCCCCCTACGTGTTATGTTGAACCCCATAAATTATTTTTTTTCTTTTAATAATCATATTTGTCACGTAAAAATTCTAAACCTTGTCGTTTTTGAGATAACGCTAAATATCTCAAAGTTAACTTTTTGGCTCTAGTGCCTTTAGGAAGCATTTTCGGACCGGAAAATAGCAATTCCTTTGTATCTGTAAAAGGAATTCTGTCTTCTGAAATATGTCTTACTGTTTTAATAATAACCTAATTTGGTAATATACTTCTTTCTTGACTCTGCTATCTAATCATTTCATCATACTGCACGCCACCTCTTTTAAAATAGATTATATCATTTCTCTACATGAGTCTATTATTATTTGTTCGACCTCATGGTCGTCCACTTGACGATCATCTCCATCTTCAGATAAAGCAAACTGTTGTTGACTGAACCTAACCCGAACTCAAACATAATCTGAACCCAAACTTAATCCGAATCCAACCTAAACCAAACTCAACCTTAACATAACCCGAATCCAACTTAATCCAAACCCAACCTAACCCGAATCTAAACCGAACTCAAACTTACTCGGAACCCAACCCCAAACCCGCACCTAATCCAAACCCAATCCATTGCTTTTTCTTACGAGGTCGGGGAAAATGTGCTAACTGACACTCTGACTTGAATCTTGAGCGGCCGTGTCAGGTTGGGCCCATCATTGGGACGCCTTTCCTCTCCCCACTCCTCCTCCTCCGCCTATCAGTCGATGGGATAGGATGATCAAACAAACAAGTTACTTTTTGTATTATATTTAATTTTATACCGCACCTGGCTTGGGAAACTCGGTATGAATTCCCTACTCTTCCTCCTTTCCCTATCAATCACTGGGATGAGCTGATTTGAGGAGCTCGGTATGAGCTCCCCACTCCCCTTCCTCCGCCTATCAGTCGCTAGGACGAAATAATCATACAAACAAGTTACTTTTTGCATTAATTTTAATTTTTGTACCACACCTGACTTGGGGAGCTCGTGCTGAGCTCCCCGAACCACTTCTTCAGCTGACAGATACTATCTTTGGAAGAAATTTGTTTCTTCCAACACATACCTTAAATATTCTCCTACTAGGTTCCGTTTATCCTGGCTTTCCAACATTGCAGGTATTATGTTTTCTGGAGTAAGCGGCATGTCGCTCTTTCTGTTGAAGTCTTCCTTTCACATTTGCAGAAAGTATGCTCGACATCCACGGCTTAATGTCTGGCAGGATTCGTTTTGTCCATCTCGTCTTCCTGGTATTTTCTCTCTATCTATTTCTCCACTCTTGCAGTATTATCTGTGGGTTTCCTGTATCGTTTTCTTCCTACACGCCTAGGCATCTCTTTCTAACTAATAGGTCTATTGGTAGTGACTGTCCTATAACTAGGAGGGCTTCTGTAGAGATGGTCCTATATCCGCTGGTTATTTTAATTACCATCTGCATCCGAACCCAAACTCAACTCATACCCGAAATTAACCGAACCCAAACTTAATCCGAACCCAAACTTAATCCGAACCCAACCCAACAAGAACTTAACTTGAACCCAAACTTAATCCGAACCCAACCCAACTCGAATGTTTTTGAACGTATTTGAATACTTATTGTCAAATTAGATGAAGTGATAACCAGAATTTTGTGTCTTTTTTAGTATAAAATTCATTCTCTAAGAATGTTGAGTAATCTGGATGTACACGGCTCTGAGATCTTTGCTTATCTGAGATTCTTCTGCCATCGCGACTACTAATCACCTCTTAATATTCACATATATGCGGCGACAACAGTCAGTAGGAACTTTTAAGGACAAGAAATTTACCTCTCTAAGTTGAACATAAATGGCACTTTATGTCAGGTGTAATTGAAAAAGTGAAGACGAATTAGAATCTAATAATTTAACCAAAATTATTGAGCATTTGTCACAACTCATGATGTTACAGATGATTATAAAAAAAAATACTGCCACATTGTTACATTTCTTCATGTGAAACATGTTGTTTTATTTTATAATTTTTAACAGATGGCAGTAAATAAAAGAAGAAAAGAATTTCGACGTCGACTTCTTTATCTAAGAAGTTGTAATTCGAAACTAGTTCGCGGTTTAAGTATCTGCCCACGTAAAAACCGTCTTCGAGATAAAAGTTTTGTACCGCAGAGACAAATTCCCACCGTTAACCATGTAATTACCTTTATTTTTAGAACGGAAAAATAAAATCTATATCGCTTTATTATTAAAAAACGATCAATCGACCAAAACGTCTCGACCTTTCCTAAATCCTAACTGACGTAAGTTCCAGAATTAAATTGTTTGCGTCTTTGTGACCTCGCATGCGTTATGTTATATCATCGGTAATAATAATCATAAAAACATATTTGATAACCGAAAAGATGATCCAAATTTTAATTTATTAATTTATTTTAGTGTGTTTGTATCCGAAATTAGATGACGAAACGTTTTCTCTCGCCCCGAATTTAATATTCTTGTTTAAGTATAGTGAAAGGAGGACCAAGTCTCTCTAGTAGATTAATTTGGGCTCGTTCGACATCTCTTCTATTCATATATGCTTCATGGTCACACCCAAAAATGAAAGTTAATAATGATTTTGAACGAATTTCGTTTTAATAAAACAACATGTATTTAATAATACATAAATATTTATTAATCGTATTTGTGTTTTTAAAAAGATTAAAAATTTGTTTGTATTTGAGTTGTTTATGGACTTAATGGGAATTAAGAAATTATGTGAAATTATAAAATATTAATGAAATTATGTTTGGTATATTAAGCATATTTTAATATTGAACACTTTTGGTTCTACATCATCTAATTAATAATTAAGTGGTTAAACTTTAAAGTGCGTGTGTCATAAATTTCCTCTTCGTTTAAATAAATCATCATCTATATCGTCAATATCCGCGGCATCTGTGTATCCGGAATCATCATATCTAGATCGATCGGGAGTACATCTCGTTGTGCATCGACTACCTCCAGTTGGGCTTCTTGAAGTCATTCTAAGAACGGGATCATCGTACCTTCTCGATACAATAGTAAAATCATGATGAGCGTCAACTAATTTTTGTAAACGCGAAATTAACTCGTAATCAGGCATTGGAAGGATGCACCCCAAAATTTTCGCTACTGAACTTCTAAATCCCAACAATTGAGATTCCCTTCTGTTTAGTTCCGATAAAGATTCCTTCATTCTGGCCAAATCGTCCCTTAATAATTGAATGGAGTGTTCATTCATGCTCCGTTCTTGTTCTATGGTGTCTCCGGTGTTTCTAACCTGGTCTTTCAACATACTCACTTTCCTATTGTATTTTGTACGAAGCGCTTCAGACTCTATCAGGCGCTTTTGTAACTCCTCGATTTTCCGCGCTCGCTCCAATGCTGTTATCTGGAAGGAAAGTTTGGGTAAGCCACGGGAATTGCATGGACGATTCAAAGTCCTTCAGCATGAGGTAAATACTTTAAATTCATATTATGCCGTCTCGGTTTTCGTAAGCGAAGAGGGGACAAAGAGTAAGTCCCTATTTTATTTTTGGGGATTACCTTAAAAAGTCTTTTGTATACGGATTGGTAGTTTCAAAATAGTGGTTAAAAAAAAGTTTATTTATAATTAATTCTAAATATTTTAAATTTATGTATTCTCCGAGTTCAGCAAACATCGGGGAAAGAACAAAGAGTAGAATAAAGAGCAAAGTCGTACAATTCCTTACTTTATTTGAAGGCTTACTTTAAAATAGTCTTCTGCATTCGAATGACTCACTTTAAATGTGATAAAAATATTCAAAAACGTGCCTAGAATACACATTAAAATAAAAGTAATATTTACTTTAAAATCAGCAGCTTCAGCTAATTGAGCGTTAAGTTCCCTAATTTGACTCTTTGAATCAGCGAATTGAATCTGAACCTTTTCCAATTGCTTCATTAACTTTCGAATTCTTATCGAAGCCTCGTCTCTTTCACTTTGCAATAAACATTTCGCTTTTGCATTATCCTCTTGTAGAGATAATTTCCTCCTTAATAAATCTAAATGTAAATCTTTTCTTTGTACTTGTTCCCTTAACGTGCGCAATCTTCTTTGTAACTGATAAACGGTGGCGGTCTAAAAAATAAATTGGAAAGATTAATTTTGTGGGATGTAATAAAAAAATGTTATTTAATTTTTTTTTATTTTATGAATGAAGCTACTTTTTGATTAAGTTGAGCTTACTTCGCGTGAAGGAAGATCGTGAAACGAACGTTCGCGTCGTAAACGTGGTAATGTTCCGTATCCACAACATAGCAGCTAAGATGATGGCTCAAAATAAAAATTGATTTAACTGTAAATTTTTTAATTACCTTATCAACGAGTTTATCACTTTCAAGCCGTGCTAACTGTTCTGCTCGTAAAAGTAATGATTCCGTGTGAAGTTCCACACCGACGTCATGTGATATTTCCTCCATGTTCAATGCCCTTGCAAGCCTCTCCAAGAAATTCATAAACTATAATCAAAAAATGAAATTTAATCAATAATAATAATAAATAAATAATCGAAAATGTCCAATTTCGTTTTAAATTAACAAATAATTACGGTCGTTTTATCTCGTTTTAAACCTTCCCTCGAGACCTCGCAGGAATTAATTTCCGTATCTGCCTTGTGTAATCTAGCTTCTAAATGACATTTCTCTTCTTCTAATGTTCTAACACGTGAATTTAGTTGTTCATACATTGATACTTGTCGTCCTAATTGAGATGAATCATGTGAAAGCTTTTCTCTTAATGCTTCTAATTGCTAAAAAAAAATAAACTCAATATGTTTACGATATATGTATAATATACATATTAATTCAATACATATTATGTATGTATATTTCAGTATATTTCAATACATATTATGTATTGAACTATACAATTGAGGTTGGGTTTGGTTGGGTAGGGTTGGGTTAAAGCAGAACTAACTCTAGATCTCTAGTTTTAGTTGTTATTCAGCGTTAAATTGTTGTATATTCTTAAAAAAGTAAAACTAGAACTAACACTAGACTTAAAACTAGATAGTTTCGGGTTTAGCAATCTTAAGTCACGTTCGGCTAAACACGAATGTTTCTAGTTCTAGGTCTAATGTTGGTGCTAGTTTTAATTGTTATTCAGCGCTAGATCGTTGTATATGTTTATTGTACAAAAAGTAGAACTAACACTAGAACTAGAATCCTTCGGGTTTAACAGACGTCTTAACAGACGTTCGGCTAAACCCGAATGTTTCTAGTTCTAGGTCTAGTGTTAGTTCTAGTTATAATTGTTATTCAGCTCTAGATCGTTGTATATGTTTATTGTGCAAAAAGTAGAACTAACACTAGAACTAGAACTAGAATCATTCGGGTTTAGCCGTCTTAAGAGACGTTCGGCTAAACCCGAATGTTTCTAGTTCTAGGTCTAGTATTAGTTCTAGTGGTAGTGTTAGTTCTAGTTTTAGTTGTTATTCAGCGTTAGATTGTTGTATATTCTTATTGAAGTAAAACTTGAACTAACACTAGAACTAGAACTAGAATCATTCGGGTTTAGCCGTCTTAAGAGACGTTCGGCTAAACCCGAATGTTTCTAGTTCTAGGTCTAGTGTTGGTTCTAGTTTTAATTTTTATTCAGCGCTAGATCGTTGTATATGTTTATTGTGCAAAAAGTAGAACTAACACTAGAACTAGAACTAGAATCATTCGAGCTTAGCCGTCTTAACAGATGTACGGCTAAACCCGAATGTTTCTAGTTCTAGGTCTAGTGTTAGTTCTAGTGCTAGTGTTGGTTCTAGTTTTAGTTGTTATTCAGCGTTAGATTTTTGTATATTCTTATTGAAATAAAACTAGAACTAACACTAGACCTAGAACTAGAAACATTCATTATTGGAGTAAAACTAGAACTAACACTATACCTACAACTAGAAAGTTTCGGGTTTAGCCATCCGAAGAGACATACGGCTAAACCCGAATGTTTCTAGTTCTACGTTTAGTGTTAGTGCTGGTGATAGTGGTAGTTGCAGTGTTAGTTCTACTAATAGGGTCATTTTCACTTACAGCACATTTATCTTTATTTTCCGTTACTAAATCCCTTATTCTATCTCTTATAGCAGTTTCGCAACATTCAATAAAACAACCAGGTGTTGATAATAAAGCAGCAAACGATTCCAAACCTTGTCGATGTTCGTGTTGAATTCGTTGTAATTTTTCTTCGCGTATTTTTAAATCATCTTTTAATTGGCAAATATTCGCTTCTTGTTGGGCAATATTTGAACCTGCAGATCCTAAACTTCTCGTTGAAGCGACGAGTTTGTCTTTGAGTTCAATAATTTCTCTATCTGCAACTCTTTGATGCATTTCACCTGTTTCTTTTTCTTGTCGTAATCGATCGATTTCAATCATTTGGGATGCGTTTTGTCGTTGAATACACTCCTTTTCGTCGAGAACTCTTTCTAAGTGTTCTTTACATTGTCGAAGTTCAATTTCGACGTTTGTTAACGTTTCGGTACACGAATGGGATTTGCTTCGTAATCGAGAGATTTCTTGAACTAATTCGGAAGCTTTGTGAATTAAACTATCGATCGATATTAAAGCGGAATCGCAAACATTGTCCGCCCCTAAAGTGATTGATAATCTTCGTATTAAGTCTTGAAAAGCGTTTCGAGCACTTTCCTTTTTTTGTTCTTCCGAACTTAAATCCAATTCCAAGTTTCGAATTTTTTTTTCTAATTCTTTTACACGATCCTCTTGATACTTATTGTCCCTTTGTAATGTTTGTAACGCTATTTCATTTCGACCTTGTGTCGCATAAAGATTCCTTTCACGTTCTTCTAAATCGACCAGTCTTTTCTTTAACGATTGAATAACAGCGTTTTGTCTCGCTGCTTGTTCTCTTAATTGGTCACATTCAAGTTGCATTTCCATACATCTTTGTTCTCTAGTTCGATATTGACACTTCATCTCGGAAAGTTCTTCAGTTAAACGGTCTTTTTTAAATTGTAAAGCAGCCAGGTCGCTTCTAAGCGCTGTGGTGACATCGACTTCTTCTTGTTCCATCTGAAATGTAATAAAAACGAGAATCGATGAGGCTTCTAAGATTTCGTGATTTGTCACGTGATCACGAAACCATAAACCCGAAGATTATTAAATCGATGAAATGGTAATTAATTTGAAACATAATTGCTACAAGTGACTTAAAACAATAAGATTCACTTTTAAATTGTTAAAAGGAATTAATAGGGCGTAAAATAAGAGCAGATAAATAAAAGATCGTTTGCGTGTAAAAGTTTTAAGTGAAAAACTGTGTTTGTTAAGTAAAGTACTGTTATGTGTCGAGTTTTATTTTTAGTTACCTCGAAATTGGTGTCTTTACAAAGTACTTGATAAATTTTCCAATCGTCTTCGGTATTTCCTGGTTTTTCTTCACTCATTTTTTCAAAAAAGTGATTTCGTGCTTTTCCATTACAAAAGGTTGTGTTTGGGAAAGCGACGATGTTTTAGATCTGCTATACGGAAAATAGCAACAAAACCTTATGGTCACGCCACAATCTTTTCGTATAATCGATATAACCAAGGTTTTCATGAGTTTTCATGTTTCAAACGGTTGGGAAAAAGGGGAGAATGATAGGAAATTAAATGTTATTAAACCAAAAATTTTATTACAAATGAAAAATTTAATCGATTCTTATGAATTTATAATAAATTAATCTTACGTTATCGTAAATTTATTTAAAGTGTAATCAAAAAATTATGCTTTATAATAATGTTTTAGATAATCTGATTTAGTTTTTAGTTTATTTTTGAAAATAAATCAAAATTTTGTATTTTGTGTATATTGACACATAGTGACAATTAGCGCCATCTATTACCAGAAATAAAAGTTGAGTATTAATATAAAATAAATATGTTTCTCGAAAGAAGTGGATTTCTATTAAATTTTTAATAAAAAAACAACTTCAATGTTGTGTTATTGATTATTTATTTAATTGTAATTATTTTGTACAAAAGTAAAATAGTGCTAATTGCCAATTCCCTTTCTAGTAGCGCCATCTATTGTTTCTATCGTTTTATGTATATGTCAAAATTAAAATGGTGATATGAAACTGATTCTTACAAAATTGCACAAAAAAAGGTATGTTAACCTTATTTATTGCTTAATTTATGAATTATTTCATTTTATAGTTTATAAATTCCATATCCTTTATATATCTGCAGTTAGGTTAATCTAATTTGATATATTTTCCCTATATGCTTCAATATTTGAGGCTGGTGGTATGTTAACATTCACTAAATCTTTATTCCCTGCTTCTTTATACCAGAAAATATCCTTGTTTATAGATACACTTATATCTACCAGGCTCAATGTCACCACGTGACCTTGGCTTGAGATTCCAGGAAGAGGTTCAATCGGCAAATAGAAATAATGGTCAACTTATGTGTCCGGTACGACCTTGACTTATACCCTAAAAACACCCAAGGCCACAACCGTATCGTGAGATCATCTTGAGATCAACGTCAGCTATAATCTAATCAAGGTTAGTACCTTTATTTTGACCTTCACTCTTTTTCTATATAATGTTACGCTTTAGTTTGTCAGTTTGTATTCTCACTCTATAGTGTATTCTCAGTGCACAACGACGTTGCACAACAGGTTATTGTGTAAACAAGGTTACCCATGCACTATAGACAATTTTATACAAACTTCACACAAACCCCATACGCTATCCATTGGTTCCGCAACATCATTCGTTTAATTATTAACTAATTTCAAACAATTTTGAATTTCTGCAACCAGTTACGCAACGCATCAACCGACACTAATGTATGGTGTTCACATAATTTTCGCAAAACAGTGGTTGTTGCGCAATTTGTTTGTCGTTTTATTTTGTTAGAATTAGAAGGATGACTGAAGAAGCAGTGGTTGATTTGCAAGGGTGTGATATTCCTTATTTTGAGGTAAGGGAATGTTGTATATTGGACACAAATTCCACATTCCTTTCAGCTGCATGAAAACATATGAGTTAGTGTGCGCAGAGATGGTTTACCGACATGCAGCGTATTTCCCAGAAAGTAGCCACCATAGATTACTGTATGGTAATAAATTATGGAGATAAATTCCCGTAACTTCTTTGATTTTTCTCTGGTAATAGTGATTGTATGGCAAAGCTCAGTGACTGTCGATCACCAAGGTTCAACTTGACAACTCTCCTCTCTTCATCGTAATCACTGCCTGTGTTATTCCTCCCAATTATTTTTTTTTAAGCCTTCATTCCTATAACCGTGCTTTTTGAGTTATACATAATATATTTAGATCTTACCCCGTGGATTTGTCTAGTGTATCACTTTTCTTGCCCATTTGTTAATTTTGGTTTAACACTATGTCGACGAATTTGTGTAGTTCAGTAACTATACCATACACGTGCATTTGTTAACATATAATTTGCAGTCCAAGAAACGACAATGGAATGTGAAGGATACAGAGCGGAACATGCACAACGCATGCAAGAGACACGTGTCTCAAAGAAAGTGATTCTTAGACAATCAGGAGGAAAACGCATGATTTGTAGACCAAGAGCAAGATGAGGAGACAACGAGATTCTCGGAACGAAAAGCTGGAGGAGAGTGGCCAAAGATCGAGACGGCTGGAGGCGAAACATCAAGGAGGCTCGATTTGGGCTGTAGGCGTGATGACCAAGTAGCAGCTTTGTATAAGTTCATCTCATCCACCCATTTGAATATGCTGCCATATTCCTCCTTTGGTTCTATCGGGTTGATTTGGGCGACAATCAAACCAACAACTTCTACGTTTTGTACGGCGGCAAAGCATCGAGGAGTTCAAGGCTTGATCGGACTGTGGAAGAAGATGTCTTCCACAGTCCATTTGAATCCATTTGAATTGTCTGACACATTGCCTTTTTGGTTCTATCGAGTTAAGTTGGACGACAATCAAACCAACAACTTCTACGTTTTGTACAAAGCATCGAGGAGGCCAAGGCTCGATTTGGGCTGTAGCGCATTAAAGAAGATATCCTTTATTAACATTAGTAGTAACTTAGCTGCTCCTTACGCACTGATGCTTGTGAAAAGATTAGAGTTGTATTCAAATAGTTGTCATAATAATATAATGGGAGTAACATTTATTTACAACATAGTAAATTATTTTCAATTCATCCAAAAACAATCTAATTAATCTTGTAAGTACTAGTAGCGACATCTTATATCCAATAGCAGACTTTATAAAGTAATAAATCGTCACCATTAAGATAAATCAATTTTATTTAATACCATTTCGCTTTTAAATAAGAGATGTCGTTAATGGTTTTTGAAATTATTTAATTTTCTGCATACAATAAGTTTACTTATTAATATTGTTGCAAAAAAATCGCCCAAATTTCGACTCTTAATTATTTAGTTCTTAAGAAATAACAATATTCTTGAAGGGCATAGCATTTTTGTCACTCGTTACTAATTACAGGGAGTTTTAGCCAAGTTTTGATCTGATTTTTAGTAAGATTTTAAATAAATACTTCTTAAATGAGAAAATGTGAATACATACTCGTGGATACCGTTGAAATTACGTAAAGTAATAAATTACGTACAATTTAAGTATGTTTTTTTTTAATTCGTTTCGTTTTATTTCGTTCTATTGGAATGAGAAGGGGAAGTGGTTTTAAAAGAACGAGATGTCCACGCGATATGGTAAGTGGTATGGTCTCTTCTCAATGTTCCCAGAGAGATGTATACTGTTATATAAAAGAGGTCCTCATTGCCTTGGGCATATAATTTACTAAACGCACTGAGTCGGTTCGGGGCCGAAAAAAAGAGAGAAGACGAATGAGACCCGGGGTGGGCCCGTCCTAAATACTGTGGGAAGAAGGCTGCCTTAATGCAGTTATAATATTTATTACAATGCGACGCAAAAAGACGAATTAATTTTAATTGAAACCAACGTCTCGATTGACGACGACAACGACGATCGGTTGAGAACTTCTTTGCGCTTTTTCTCGTCTCTCATAAATTGCCCGTTTCCCGTTACGGATTTTCGGACGGGATCTGATGCGAATTCAACCTCCGACGCCGTTAGGGAAACCAATCGCGGACAAATACCGGAACATCATCAACGCGAATGGCATGAAACTGCATTGTTTCGTAAATATCTTGTGCGTCTCTTTATTTTTACAGGAATCGGTAAAAAGATCTTAAAATGGTTATTTCCTTATTTTATTAATTAATATTTCGAAATTATACTTTCACGTCAACAATCTGGGCTTTTTCTCGATTTCTTTTCATTATCGTTATAAAAATATCTCGTATGATTGACAAGACCGTTGCCGGAAGAGTTCTTTTTACTATTTTCCGTGTCGCGAAACTAAACTTAATTGCAAAAACTTGAGCTCATTCTGACCGAGTACTTTTTACCCTTATAAATTATCGCTTAATTAAAGTAGAACTGAATTAGAGTCGAGTAAGTTATCTGTTAACAAGGTGATGAAAAAACTATAGAAATCAAAATTAAAATTAAAGAAGGGAAAGAAAAGGGGGGTAATGAGAAGCACGTTTTAATTTCCGCGTTCCATATTTATTTATAACTTAATATTATTATATAATGAGGTGATCCACAATCAAATATAACAATTAAATCTTTTTTGCTTTTTTTTTGAAAATATTATATGGCACTTAAAAAAACTTCATAGCCTGTAAGTAAATATTATAAAATTTTTAAATAAATAAAATTAATTAATTTAACGAAGAAGTCTTTTCCTCCTTGCAATTGCTCCCGTTTCAACAATTCCTTTTTGATACTTTTCATCTGATTCGCCTTCTTGTGACACCTTATATTCAACTTCTCGATCAATTTCGCCAAAATCAATCGATCCTAAACGAGTTTGAACGACGTGTTTTAACGTTTGTAAATTTGCCGATTTTCCTGTTCTCCTTGGTTTCCTCATTTCATTCTCATCCACTTTAAATTTATGCAAATGTTTAACATTAATAAACTCCTTATTATCACCAGGAATTATTTCATTTGATTCTTGCACAGAAATTCCGTGAATTTGCTTTGAAGGTCCATAAGTTTTAACTTTCGAGTGACCCTGAATTATTAAATACAAAGGGCCTCTAATAGGATCCATGGATTGTTTATAATGTTTAAATAATGGATCGGTTGTTAACGATGAAGCCGTAGATGTCGTTGTGGTTGATGGTTTTGAAGTTATTGTTGTGGTCGGTAAAGAAGTTGTTGTGGTTATCACTGAAGAGGTTAAAGTTTCTAAAGATGGTTGGGTTATTTCGTTAATTTTTTCATCAATTAAATTTGGAATTGACATCGGACGCAAAACTTGGACGCCAAAATTCGGTGGTTTTATTGTAATCCCGGAAATGCCCATTCCGGAAACGGAATCCATGTGCGCTTCTAATTTTCCAATGTTTACGTAAGTATCTAATTCGTCATCCTCAACTTGTCCTTTATGCATATTAACTTGGTTGGTTTCATTCGATTTTTCGTGCTTATCGATGATGTTGTTTAAAATTGGTTCGTGAGATGGCGGTGTTTTCCATGTAGCTACATTATGGGTTTCTGCGGTTGTGTATTGATCTGATAACCAATCGGTTAAGCCATGAGTGCTGGATTGGTAGATTAATTTTGCTTGATCAACTGTTATAAAATCGGAGGATGTTGGTGGAGATGATGAAAATGGGATTTTAGTTGATGGATGGATTTCTGGAATGTGTGTTGTTACAGGTTTCTTGCTTATCGGCATCGGTGGGGGTAATAACATAGTATAAGGAATCGCTTCGTTTTCGATAATTGGGGGTCTCTCTGTGAGTTTGCTCAAAAAAATTGATGGTGTAAAATAAGGGGATGTTAAAGGAAGATGTTGTCTATGTCTTTGGTAAGATGGTTCTTTAACGTATTTTAAGAAAGGATCGAAATATTCTCTTCGATTAGGATTTTCTGGGATCGAGGCTGAACTTGTACTTGGTTTTTTGGAGGAAACGCCCAATATTAAAATATCTTTCTTCTGATTAATCTGATTATTATTATTTTCGACTTTTCTATGATTATTATTAGTATCCCTCCAATATCGAACTGCCTCAACCATAGGGGGTACATAATCGAATGTGGGATCATTTTTTAAAGGATCGCCGTTAAGGATTGGCTTCCATTGCTCATAATCCATCCGCGGTGAAAATAATCCTCTCGTTTCTTTGTTATTATTAAACGTAACCGAACCTAAAAATATAAAAAAAATCAGTAATCAGTTCGAGGTTAGTGTGCCGCACAAACGATGTGACACCTAAGTACTAACGCTATTATCACACTTAGAATACATCTAATTTAAATTCAAAGCAAGAACTTCGAATCGAAAAAAAAACTATTTGTTCAACGAGGAAATGTGCCAACAACAAATTAGTACTTTGAATTTATTATAAACGATTTTGAGAATTTGATAAATTATTATTACTAAATATCGCTGTTATTTTATTTATTTTAAATTAAATTTTGTTATATTTTAATGCAATGATAAATATGACGAAAAATCCAGTTTCTATGTTTTTTGGCAATATTATTGGCAATGGAATATAAAAGTTTCTATACGGAGTTTTATGCCCGAGGGGTTGGGTTGGGTTGAAGTGTTAAATAACTTCATTTTGAACACATTCCTTTCAAAATAGTTAGACACCGATGCATAATCTGCATCATAGCAAGGTTGAGGTTGCTACCATTTGTCTCCTCTTTGATGCAATAGGAGATAATATAGACTAGAAATGCCTTTTTTTTAATAAATACCTTTGATGTTTCCAAGATTATGTGCAAAAGTTTCCAAGATTATGAGAGAGTGTGAAAAATCTATCTCTGCTTAATACATACTATCTATAAGATGCTACGCAGTGCAGAGTTACCTGATATCGGGAAAGGTGTAATCGTTGAGCAAGTGTTTACCCAAAATCGATAGTGGCCTATGTTCAACGGATGTACCACAGACTCCAAAAGCGTAAAGAACAGTATTGCTTATGCTATCTATTCTTATATTGTACTTTCTGACGTTAATGCCTTCCAAAAGTTTCCAAGATTAAAAGAGAATATCAAAAACTATTTGTGCTGGTCTATCTTTGCTTGATACACACTATCTATAGGAGGCCACGCAGTGTAGAGTTGTCTGATTTCAAAAGAAGAGTGTTGTTTCGATAAATACTCTTCGTAAGGAATCACATCTACTTGGTTGTGCTTCCGCAACTTCCATAAGGTATTGATTACTAAGTCTAAACGAGCAACTCGCTTAGTGTATTGTAAAACACGTCAATAGCGGACTAGAATCAAGGTTTGGATGTCAAGATGAAACTGGTATCAACCTGGAGAATGTGTCTTGCCCAAATGTATTGTGCCAACAGTAACAATCAGCGAAAGTAGGATTATGGTTTTGGAGTGTTTCGGCTGGTACGGATTGGGACTCTTCTTTCCTTGAATTAGAATCATGGTAAGTTTAATACCGACGTTACTCCACAATTTTAGATATTAATGTGTTTTTTTGCGTTGTGGCAGCTTTATGGAGTATAGACCCATGTTACTTTCAGGGCGATAACGCTAGCTGTCATGTTGAGAAATCCATAAGCGGTTAGTATGATGATAAAGGGGTACCTAAATGAAGTGACCTTCCCAGAACCTAGGCTTGAACCCCATCGAGAATTTCTGAGAAGAATTGGATCCCAGAGTTAAGGTGCAAAATTGGCGAAAAAACTTGCGTGACTTCTACAAGTCGAGTGAAAGAAAATTCTACCAGGAAATCTTGCCAAGGAGAGTTAGCCTTGTGTGGTACTTGTATTGCTGGATTTTACTAGAGTTTTTGATGGAAGATTTCACATAATCTCGATCTTACCCACACTCCATCAAGTACAACAGCCCAAAATAAATATATAACCGATAATAACTTAAGAAATCTTCCAGTTTTGGGCTGGAAGCAGTTTTTAGTAGCTGCTCTTAGATTAAGTGCTGCCGCCGTGGAAGGTACCTCCAACCAGAAGATTTAAGAAAATTCAATGGATATACAAACGATATTTTTGTAATTATGCAAGAAGATGAAAATAGTAAAAATGAAAATGGTAAAGAAAATAGAAGATTTTGAAGGAGTATTAACGACGATGAACATCAGGAATTAGATCGTGAACTTAAAATTGACGGTCTTGGTAAATTCAATTAGCTAAATTCACCTCAGGTGTGGTCGGACACTTCTTATTCGGAAAGGGTTTTTTGCGAAGCGATGATCCAACAAAATCATGATGAGGTGATTGTTATGGGGGAAGAAGTGGACTCATTTTTAGCCAATATTAGACGAAATTGAACCTGGGGAATTCTTTTTAATGTCATAAGATCTAGTTCAAAATGGATGTGCGCTACGATAATGTTAGACGTCTAAGGAGCATCAATAATTTTTTTGGAAACTTTTAGCTGTTATGTGCGTAGTTTTTGGAACAAACCAGAAAATTTCAAAAGGAGTTTCCGAAATATCGCATAGCCCTTTCAAGCATGAGTTGTAGTCATACTCATTTCATCATCACTCGCTTCTGCGGCTTAATTTTTATTTCAAGTATTCATTACGATAGTCTATGAGGGGATTCCCATTGCTAGTGTAATTAACACTGTGATTTCATAAAACGTCGAATAGCAGATTTCGAGCTTTCGCGGAATAATTCTTGTCCATTTTTAAGCATAGCGCATAATAATTTAATTTCTGGTAAAAGTGATTTGTGAGGACAAAAATTTCTGCTTGAATGTGTTACATAGACTGGTTTAGATAAGTTATACAAATTTTTGAACAATTGATACTTTAGTGTTATAGAATTTTTACCATTTCTATTAGAAGATCCTCGGAAATCATTGGCTTCGCAATATAATAATTGCAAATAAGTCCATAAGATGATCCAAGTGTATAACCAACGTTTATTTTTACTTCTCATTATCTAAAATAAAAATAAGATATAAATAAATAAAAAAAAATTTATCGTATTGTTTAACATTTTAATCTTTCGATCTAAATCCGCGGTCGGCTTAACAACAAAGAAGCTCCCATACAAAAAAAGTCTACCTCCTATCTAAGTACTAAAGAGAACACAAAAGACCTGCTTTGGATGTCGAGCGACAACATCAAGTCGAACTCGTTTTGTTCTATGAATGCAAAGCAGATCTATTTAGAATTGGAACTAGATTAAGAAAAAATTTGTGTTACTTAAACATCATTTAAAATACATATATTTATTTTTCATTTTTGAACATCGTGAAACATCCTGTATATGCAGAGCAAAACGCAAATACGTAGGTCACGGCAATCGTGACAAAGAAGCCGCCGGCTTATTATAGTTCAGGAGGCCCGAATCAGGGTCTCTCTTTAAACGATAAATCCCAATCGAAATTGAACCACTTTTATCTCTAAAATCAACGAGGAAACTGTTCTCCTCTCGCTCGCTTGTTACTCCTTGAATGTTTATAAATTTCAACGTGAGTCGATTACGGAGAAAGTAAAACGTGCTATAATATTTGACGTCACGCGGGAGCGTCGTCGACACGTGGGTGTATGTATATGTATATGCAGGACTCTTACAAAAAAAATCTTGATTTGTCTTGTCCCATTTTTTTTTAACACATTTTTCCTGCTTGATTCTTTCAAATCACGATTTTGCACTCAATTAATCTTAACAATTAATTTTAACAAGCACAATTCGCGTGTCCTCACGTAAATGATCAAATGCATAACAATAATTAGAAAATATAGGATTAAGCTTTTTTAAACGAAATTGAGGTTAACTCAGAAAGTTGAGTTTTATATTTTAATATTATAATGAATTAAATTATCCTTTCGATTCTAGAAATAAAGTCAAAATTAATTTTTTAAATCTGAAATCGTTTTTAAATATCCTTATAAAATTGAATGTACCTAACCTGAAATGATCACAAACTTGAAACTTTTTGAAAATGTTTAAATTTAATTTTGAGGAAAAGATATAAACGCAGGAAATATATTTTTTTTTAATTTCGCCGAAAAGGAAGAGGATGAGAATCAAATCGTTGGCCCAGAAAATAAAAACGAGAGAGGTAAAACAGCGAATTACACCGCAAAGTTCGTCGTTTAACTTTGATCGGGCTTTATTACAGGTTTTAAGAAAAGTGGCCCAACCCGTGTCTCTCAACAGTGGTCATTATGCCAGGTGTCGGCTATAACACGCGTCTGCGATGTTCGACAAGATAAAAAGAAAAATGTTAAAGACAAAAAAAAAATTAACATCGTAAAAAATTATTCAAAAAAAACTCCGAACATAAAAAATTTATTATTAATATTTAAATAACTCACCTTTAAAAATAAAAATAATAAATTTATAAAAAGAATCACTCAAAATTTGAATCTTTATGAAACGAATTTAATTTTAAAAACGAACTTGGAATAACTAATAAAACTGTTGCGAGTTAATAAAGAGTTCTTAAAAATAAAAAATTATTAATGAAAATTGATTGAAACTTTTTCAGACTATATCACTCGAGTATTTTTTTGACCAATTAATCGTTATGACCACATCAGTGAAGAACTATTGCCAGACTGTTCATATGATGTTGGGCCATAGCCGATAGTGGGCCCCCACCAATTTTATTTTCACCTCTTCCCGTGGTCTCTTCACTTGGTCAATCTTCGGACCCCGCCAGACAGCACGGCGGTTACACACCAAAGAAAATTGGCCTTTCTTCCATCTCCACATCATTTCTTTTTACGCATCCCATTCATATATTGCTACATCCATTAATAAAATAACAAATCTTTTTGGAAACTTAAAAAAAATCGTTCAAAGCTTTATAAAAATAGAACAAATTATTACTAAAAAATAATTCTGTTAAAACTTTAATTTTGACAAGTTTTTATACTGTTAAACGACAAAATATTATTTAAAGTTATGTCATCTGTCAAATCGTTTATGGTCTAAAAGACATATCAATAACTTTTTTGTTATAAAAATCATCAAATATAGTTATAGTACATATCAACGTACCAGAGGAACCAGAAATGCCTTAAAGAAATAGATAAAGCTCTAAACACAAATCGAAGCATTCAAATCAAGTTACTTACAGTCCAAGAGTAGTGAAGGAAGAGTTCTTATGAAAAGTTTTGATTATTAGTTTTAGAGTTACATCTAAACGGTTTACAAAAACTTTTGCTTACTATGCAAATCATGAGATATATATATAAACCCAAACCCTTCTCCTTCATCTCCACATCCTCGGCTCCTCGCTCCAATCACCTCCTTCATCTATCTTTTACCCTCACCCCCTTTCCCAAAATCTGCTTCCGGTCCATTGCCTCCTCCATCAGTTCACTACACCCTTTTATCATGTGTTCCAGCTTCTCCCAATCTTCTCCACATCATCCGGCCAGTACCTGTTCCCTCCCTTTTCATTGCCATAGCTGAATCTGGATCACTCTCTCTATACCTTACATTATATCTCCCTTCCTGTATCTGTGACCTTCTTTCCTGCCTCTGTATGTCCCTGTCCCTATCTTTCAGTTCTCTCCACATTTAACCTCTCTCTACTCTTCTGTTGTCGATCCCAGTTAGTGAATATCCCACTCTCCTATAATATCTTTTCCTATCTCCCTGAACATATATCACTCTGGTTGTTCTCCCAGCCTCCACCCTTACTACATCCACCTTAACTTTCTCCATCACTATAAACCTGGGGGTCTCCCTCGCCAACCCTAGGCTCTCTAGTTGTTGGTTAGTACCGACTTAGTTGTTGCGTATTCCGAGTGGTATTAGTTTAGATCGAAACTGGGCTATCAGCTTCTTAACAACGACGATATAATTGAAGAAGTTTTGGGTCAACCTAGTACAACGCAGCCTTAGCGAGTAACGAACCGGGAGACTGAAGAAGCTGCAAATGTTCTACTAGACAATTTTGAGCAATAAGAATCTTCGGATCTTGTTAACATTTTAATCTTGCGCAAAATACGTCAGATAATTAAAAAAATGGAAAATGTGCAACTCAAACCAAATTGACAGACTTTTTTTGAAAGAATAACTTACGTAGAATACATAAATATGTTCTAAGTTATCTTAGTTAAGTTCTGTTTTTATTCTGTTCTGTTATTATGCAAAAAATAAAAATGTTTGGATTATACTTCTGCGCCGTAGATCATTGTGCTCCTCCCATCCCCAAACCTGTCCCTTATTACTTTCCGAGAACACATATCCCAGAAACGTATACTCTTTCACTTCCTCGAACTCTCTTCCCTGCCACCTCCATTCCGCCCACTTTCTTTTCTCCCCTTTGCAGAACGTCATGATCTTTGTCTTCTCGACGTTTACCTCCAACCCTTCCGCCTTAAAATATATCTTCAGGCACTTCATCATCTCCACCGTTTATTGCCGTGACCACCAAATACTCCGCCAATAATCATCCTCTCTTCGTGTGTTATAAAGGATACTATTATAAGCAACTTTGAACGCACAATCTAAACAAATCAGAAAAGATAACAGAAATGTAACGATCAACTTAGTCATAATTGTGATGGGCAGAATAAGAGCCACATTATTGAGTATTGTTCACATAGTTTCTCTTATTATGGCAGAAACTGTTAGCTAAGCTAGATTACAACCGGATATGTATTGTATACCATTCCAAGCAGACCTTTGTGGTTGACAAAGATGTTCTCGATAGGGAGGTGAAACTGTGTCGGGTTTTGTTGATGACTACCAGAACATTAAACACAGTTGGGTCATAGAAATGTGGTTAATCACATCGCAATTTTTAAAAATAGAACTAAGTGGTAGTATCAAGAAAAGCTTGGCCTATTGTAGACCAGTTCTTCAGGTATGAGACATCACAGAGAACGTGTCATAAATGTTGGATATTTGGGGCACAAATTATTCCCCACAAAGATCTAAATGATAATTTACCAAGCAAGATCTTAAGCTTCATTAACTACTCAATTCAGCACAGCACGTTCCATAAATCATATTTGCATGAGTCAGGCAAATTGCAGAGTGACATTTTTGGCATTCATAATTTGTTATCCTTCCGAAACCTGTTTCAATTGTACAGGTTGAGCACCTACACCTTTTTGGAGGATCATCACCGACAGGACGGAACCTTTTCAGTCGCATCTGGAGGTTAGTGCCCATCCAACTGTTTTTACACATCTTCGATTCAGCTCTCCAAGCGTTAACTGGTGTGATAACGTTTTCGGAAAACTCTTCATCGTAGTGGATCTAGTCGATTGCCGAGGCAAATCAGTTCAGAATTAATTCCAGCCACATGCAACATTGTGAAAAATATGACCCACTGCCAACGTTTGACATTTTGGCTCACACTGTAGGAAGCACACATCTAGTCTAAAGTACCGACATAACCCTTGGTGGAATTGTAAAACGTGATTACCTCTGGCTTCGTTTTCTCTCCAGATTCAGGATCAATGGCGTTGTCATCATGACGCGAGGATACGAGATTCACGTTCTTGTTAACTCGTGGTACGTAGAATACTAGAGTTTTTTCACTACCGAAGCCAAACATGCTGGGGTATTGTTTCCTTCGTTTGATTACAATAAATTCTATGGGCAACTGCCAAATCATCGATTAGCTCCATATCGGTAAACCAATTATCGGCCGGATCCAATTACTTACTGCTGACACAGAAAACGCATTCAGGCTGTTTTCTAGTATAAATTTCCATGTTGTGTGTATAAATCGTCTTGGCATTAACGTGCAAAACATTTTATACCGTACTTGTTCGGTTTGGATGGCATGTACTGGTGAAATGCAAACCTACCTCGAAAACCTGGAAGCATTTCGTCGTGCAACGTTCTCTCCGACACTATATCTTTTCTGACAATTTTCTACAAATTTTTCACACACGTCCCGAATTGAGCAATGCAACATTCATATCTTTGATACATTCGGGCGCAATGTGCTGAAAACACTAAAGTGCCGAAGGGCTGCAATAAGTGAAGAAAGTAGAGTAATAGGAGGCACAGATTCCGACACTTCCTAGGAGTGAAAGAAGGAACTGGACAATTCTAGCTGTGCCTGTCGGGCCGGTTGGCCGGCATTACATGGAGAAATTTGGTACACTTAAGTATCAGGGTAGACAAATTTTACTAAATACTTCTTAGGCATAAATTTTAAGTGAAGCACACCTTGTGTATCTATCCTATTCTCTAGGATTGAAAGAAACACTCAGCTGTATATTGATGCTTGGAATCTTCATCGTCTTGATGGATTGATGTAGCCAAAATTTATGAGTATCATAACAGAATAGCTTTTTTGTGATGCTAAAACGAGACGCAAGGTTTTCCGATTTTACCCACTGTGTTCATAACCAAATAAAAAAATAAAATAAAAAAATAAATCGAACAAGTCCGTTTTTTCATAGAATTCTTGTTGAAGAGAACCCAACCAGGTTAATGGGTAAGCAGAGTAAGTGATAATAGCTGAGTACACATATTTAGGGGAACAATTAAAAGTTTCACACTGCTACTCTATAAGGACGCCGGCGAGCCGCGGTCATGGTTAGAACGACATTCAGCGTAGAATTCAGCACGATGCCGCGTATGGTACGAAACCATAGTGAAATCACCGCTCTTTCTACAACCCATAGATATTCCTACCTCTCTTCTTTCTCCCCATGACGCCACGAACGATTCCGATTTACATAACGATCGACAACACATTTTACGATTTGAATTAAATCGAAAATTTAATTGAAAGGTGCGTTTAATTAACTGCATTTGAAAACATTAAATTTTTTTTGTTGACTAAAGTTTAGTAATAAAGTTGTACTCTTTATAACATTGAACATAACCTGAAATAAAGAAACGTCAATTTTGACAGTTAAGTGTCGCTAGAATTCTTATTAATTGAAATTTTCATTTTAAGGTTAATATAGAAATTTTTCTCGTTTCTTTTTAGTACTGTTGATTAGCATTTGGCGAAATATACATGAATACGAATAAATTACATGAAATCTCAAGAAACAGTTGGGTACAGTAACGGTGTAAAAATGTAAATTCGCTCAAAGAACAACGTTCGGCGGTGACAAAGAAGTGTGTCAATTAACAAGGTGCGCGTCTTTTAGAATGCATAAGTCGAAGCCCTAACATATCTTTAAGTATCTTGAATCGTTAAACATTTTACAGTCATCTATTAAACGTTGTTTTAAACAAAACGTTTTTCGCCGTAAACATTTTTTTTTCTTTTCGCAAAATTATTTTCGATTTTATCGCGGATTTGATTGAAAAGTTAAAGTGAAGATTACCGAGATTTGATTGAGCGTACGATTCGCATCTGGTATTAAAAAAAAAATCTGAATCGTAAAAACTCGGCGCCGATTCTTTATGGTTGTTGCTTTCTAGCCGACGACGACATTCCATTCATTTTGCAGTTCATAGAAAGTAATAAGTATCCGTGTTATTATTACGGTTTGCCCGTAAAACGTGCGGTACACACAATACTATGCGCCGAAGAAAACTTTCGAAACGCACACACGATTTTGTAACTGACTATGGACGTTTGAATTTGGGATTCGATTGAAATGCAACACCGCATGTTTATGTTCGTTAGAAAGTACGCAAAAATTATACTCGCAAAACTCATTTCTACGTTATATACATACGTTTTAGTAGTGATGGAACGGATAGTGATTTTGCGAAAAGCCGGATACCAGATATTCGGCATCCCCTTCGGCCGGATATCAACAAAGCAACTCTAAAAAGAGGATACTTTAATTAATAATTGGCGATATTTCCACAAGGATCCTTTAAGTAATGAATTCTATAGCGAATTTTGCAAGTTATCGATGAAAATTGCAACATCGAAAATTTTATCAAAACTTCAAATATTGGATTCTCAAAAACTAAAAGCTATTTTTCAAAACGGGTTTGTTCATTGGAAAGAGGACACTCTTATTAACACTTTAGGAGATTTTCAAACTCATATACCAGGAACTGGATTTTATACGAATTTTTAAAATTTAATCGGCGAAAATTGCAAAATTCGACAAAATTGTCGATCATTTCAAAAATTTATTTCTTAAGAACTGAAAGTGATTTTTCATAACGGCTTTTTGCATTAAAAGAGGATACTTTAATTACTAATTGGTGATATTTTCACAAGGATCCTTCAAGAAATTAATTTTATTGCGAATTTTGAAAATTATCGATTAAAATTGCAACATCGAAAATTTTATCAAAACTTCAAATATTCTTTTCTCAAAAACTAAAAGCTATTTTACAAAACGCGTTGGTTCATTGGAAAGAGGACACTTTTATTAACACTTTTGGAAATTTTCATACTCATATTTCAAGAACTGGAGAAAATGACGTCAGTATCGGTCCAATATGTCACACCACGTATCACCCTCAGTCGTTATTACCGTCTTAATCCTTAAATGCATCTTTGTTGTTTCTCTGCTTAATTTATCGATATGTAGCAATCCTCTTAGATTAGAAGTACTTAATGAAACTAAAGGTATCTTAATTAGATGGAATAATAACCATAAAAGAAGCAAAATTTGAAATTTATTTGTAACTTTTGATACAAACTGTACAATTTAAAAAGATTTTTTTTATTATAAATTAATTGATTACATTTTTTTCAAGATCTTTTGAAAGATTAATAACAGAAGGATGTTGATTTAAAGCGTTCATATAAATATCTAATTCATCTTCAGAACTCTCATTAATCTCAACTTTCTTCTCATCCATTTGAACATCGTCCGGTTCTTCGGAATCGAAATACTTTTCTTCTTCGTCGTGATCCAAAATTTCGATGTTATCGTATTCGTCGTTATTGTCGATTGTGGAGTAATCGAAATCGTCTTTTCCGTTTAAAAAGTTTTGGTGCATTATACTTGTAAACTCTTCTTTTAAAAGTTTTCGTTCTGCCGCTGTGATATAATCTTTTTGTGATAAAACATTTTTCTTTTTTGTGATAATTGATCTTTTATTAAATTTAGTTTTTTCTTTTTTATGTTTTATTTCGCCCCATTTCGATGTTGATGGTTCGGAATGAGGAAATTCACCCCATTTAAACGATTTATTTATGTCATTATCCTCATTTTCATCTTCATCATCATCGTCTTGAACGTGTTTTATTTCATTTCGGTCTTCTTCAAGGTTTTCTTCATCTAATTGTTTTTTTAAAATTTCTTCGGTTAAATCTCTTTCGATTCCTTCCAATAAGATTTTAACGAGTGTATCTTTTTCGATGTACATATCGCGTTCTTTCTTTTCACTCTCAGATAAATATTGTCCCACTAATTGTTCGTAAAGCAAAGGATTTCTTTTCATCATTTCATTTTCGGAAAAATACGCGTTCCCTTCAATTAATTTTTTTAAAGCTTCGTAACGGCGATTTTTCGTTTTTAATTTATGATCGTTTTCGGAGAAAAATCGGCTCAAATTAGAGATTAATGTGTTTATTTCTAAAATTTCTTCGGGGTGATCGGAACAAGTTTTAAAAAACTCCAAAAATTCTTGTTTTAAATGTTTTCCGAATCGCGCTAAAAAATTCGATTTACTTTTTTCAAAAACATCTCGGGCTATTTCGAATTTTTCGGGATCGGTTAAATCGGATTCTTCTCTCGATTGATTTTTAAAACAAACCGAGTTATTTGAGATTAAATAATTAATTATTTCTATTAATTGATTTGAATTAACCGCGTCAACCTCCATGAGCACCATCTACACTTTGACAAATCGAACTAAGGTTGTGTTAAAAAGGAAGTGATTAAAGTGACAATGACAGCAAATTGAACATAACCTACAAACAAAAAGAATTTTAATAACAACAGTGAATGAATCACCGCATATTTTAAATTTAGTTAATTCCAGATAAGACTTACTAATTTGGTGATTATCGTGAATGAGTTCCGCGAACAAAGCTTGTTTGTACCTTGTGGATGAGATGTGTTTTGGTGTTGAAACGATTTGTTTTGGTATCGATTTGGAGGATTAACAACTTTCTCCACGATTTGGTAATTATTAACGATTTCTTATCACTGATTATAATTAATACACAATTTGCTTCAAATTATCGCTCGTTAAACATCTAAGGACTAGGTAAATAATGTTTTTGATAGACCTTACAGATTTCTGTAAACAAACATGGTAGTTGCATATTCCATCAACTGATGGCGCGCCAATTTCGTTTCAAAATTTTCTTTGTCCACGACTACCTTATAACATATACCTTATGAATGAGTTTTCTAAAACAAAAGGGTAGTCATTTTTCACGGAGTGAATAATAGCGGTGAATAATAATCATTATTCACGGGCATTTACGGGTAACCAACTTGATAGACTAATAATAATTATTTGAAACGTTAAAATTTCAAAAAACATCAATTTAATTCAATTTTTTAGGAGTTTCTAAAGGTTTGACATTAAAAAACCTAAACAAATTCCTTTTTTCGTATGATTTAGGCATAAATTAATTAATAATTTATAAATAATTATAAATAATTTAATTTTGACAAATTGTTGTGAAGTTGGTTACAGTTAGTAACATTGAATTTGTGTCATATTGACGTTTAAACTTTATTCAAAAATTTATTTAAAAAATAAGTTTATGAAATCAATTTCAATAGTCGTGGACAAAGTATAGTATTCTACTCGCATATAATGAGCTATTATTCACTCAGGTTAATTGTGCCACTAGCTACGCTCGTGACATAAACTTGACCTTCGTGAATAATAGCCCTTATTATATGCTCATATAATAATATACTATTAATTTGTTTCTTTTTTAGATAAACAAAAAATTATGGATAAAACCGGAATGGATCACCGATGGCATTGGGAATGGGAATCTCTTTGTGGCCCAAACGGTTTAAACATTTGGTCACCAAAAACTCACGATTTAGGGATATGTTTTCAACAATTATGCCTTCAAATCCCTGTTTTATTCCTTTTGGCGATATCATCTGCCTATTACTTCGGAAGACAAACATACCACGTCCAAAGAGGCCTTTTACAGCTACGCGCGATTACTTTACGCAGTTTTATCGTCTTTTTACTCGCTTTCGCCCCAACGTTACACGTTTACATAGTCATTAACAAATGGGACGTTGATAAATTTACGATTTTCTATTTTTTATCCGCCGTTCAATTATTAACCTGGTTAATACACCTCGGGTATACTTTTATCCTTCGACGAAGGCTCGGGTTAAGCGCTCGAGGGCCACTTTTCATAATTTTTTCTTGGACAATCATCGCGGTGTTAAGCGCGATTAATCTGCGATCGTATGCCCTTTTATACAGAGCGAGCGAACATAAATCGAGCGGATTGAAAATGGCTTTTGGATTTTCCATTTTCACCTTCATCCTTCATGTCTTTTATGGAATTACTTTAATTCCGAATGAAGGAGAATCCGATTATCTTGTAGCCGAGCCACAAAGAGTAAGTTCAAATTATATCGTGTACTACAGTTGCTAATAAAATTGAGAACACAAAATTTGAAAAAAAATTTCTAAAATGTGATACAGAATTTCGCCAAACTACACAAAAAAGTTAGTGGACTCTAAACTTAATCACTTTTGCTTAACTGTACACTCAATTTTATTTTCCATTCCCCTGTATATATAATTTTGTAAGCAACTGTATATCAAAATGACGTTTAAGACGTAAATATTGACATTTAAATGTCAAATTGACGTTTCTACTTTAGGTTATATTTTGAATTTTAAAAGTCAATTATGTTTAAATTGTCAATTTGTGTAAATAATTTTGATGTAGAATGATGAAAATACCCCATTGTTGAGCGGAAGCGCGTACCTAAGGTTCTTGGAAGCGAGGGACCCCAATTATTTAGGAGTAGCGATGGAGGACGCCGCTTGGTTTTCAAAACTCTTCTTCCACTGGGTAAGTCCCTTGATGCAGAAAGGAGTGGAAGAGAAGATCGTGTTCCCGGACGACCTCTTCGACTTGCCCGATTCGTTGCGGAGCGACACTTTGAGTAGAAAACTGGAGAGGGCACTAATTGGCGATGGAGGTACGTAGTATTTTCGCTCTGATTAGAAGGGGGTAATTGACTTAATATTCCAGAAAGGCCCCCGGCAGATCATGCGAGTCCTCCTCTTGTTCCCGATGTTGCATTCAGCAGAAGCAACAACAATAATAACTCTTTGTTTCGGGCGTTGCATAAATGTTTTTGGGTTCAATTTTACAGCATTGGGGCTTTAAAATTATTTGCTGATTTGTTAGGATTCGCGGGGCCAATGCTTCTTGGAAAATTAGTCGGGTTCATTGAGGATAAAAATGAAAATATTCAAAATGGGTATGGTTATGCTGTTGGGTTATTCACAACAACTCTTCTTGGTAAAAAAATTTTTTTTGCTCAATTTAATTAATAAATCAATAATTTATTAGGTTCCTTTTTTAATACCCATTTCAATTTCTTAATGGCAATAGTTGGATTGAAAATTCGTGGTGCTTTAATCACAACTATTTATAAAAAAACTTTAACCGTTAGTAGCACTGTTCTAAATAACGCATTTTCAATTGGGGAAATTGTTAATTTCATGTCAACGGATACCGATCGAGTTGTGAATTCTTGTCCGAGTTTTCATGCTTTATGGAGTATTCCATTTCAGGTACTAATATCAAAAAAAAAAAATTTAATCTAACTCAAAGTTTATAAAAAGATTGCAGTAACTTTGTATTTGTTGTACAATCAAGTTGGAGTCGCTTTTCTAGCTGGAGTCATATTTACACTGATTTTAATACCGATCAATAAATTTATTGCGAACAAAATCGGCCAACTTAGTACAAAAATGATGGAACAAAAAGATAAAAGGATTAAAATAATGACGGAAATTTTGAGGGGAATTAAAACTATTAAAATTCACGTTTGGGAGGACCATTTTATAAGATTAGTTACAAGTAATTTAATTATTATTTTTTACAATCAATAATAAATTGAGAAATGTACTTATTTGAGTTATTATTAGTTATTAAACTTATCTCAAAATTATGTCTAAATATCTTAGAAAATCATCAGAAAGCCTCTGAAGATTGTTTGACGTCTTTTAAAATCTTTTGGAAATGTTTGACAATTTACAAAAAACTTTTAGACACTTTTTGCTAATTTTGGAAATTCTTAATTATCTTTGTATAAGTTTGGAAATCGTATAGGAGTTCTTGAAAATACTTAGGATATCTTTGAAATGCCTTAGAAAGTGTTTAAACATTCTTTGACAATTTAGGAATCTCTTAGACATCCCCTGATAACTTTGGAAATCGTCTAAAATGTCTCTGAAATATATAGAAATCCTTTGAATATTGGTTAAACCTTCTCAAAAGCTGTTTAGACTGCTTTTGATAATTTAAGAATTGTTTAAAAATGTCTCTATAACTTTAGAAGTCTTTCGAAACCCTTTGATATCTTACAAAATCATCAGAAACACTCCGAAGATTATTTAAAGTGTTTAAGAATCCTCTGGCAATGTTTGACAACTCACAAAAAATGTTTAGACAACTTTTTGTTAGTTTTGAAAATTCTCAAATGTCTTTGGATAAGTTTGCAAATCGTAAAATTTCTTGGAAATTTATGAAAATCTTTGAAATGTCTTTAAGTAAGCGTTTCGATACTTTGATAATTTTGGAACTTCTAAGATATCTCAGAATAACATTGGAAATTCTCTAAATATTCTTGAAAATGTATAAATATCTACTGAAATTTTTTGAAACGTATTAAAAAATGTTTAGACACTTTAATAATTTTAAAACTTCTTAAACATTTCGGAACAACATTGGAAATCTTAAAAATTCGTAGAATATCTCTGAAAACGTTTAGAAACTTTTTGATTATTTTGGAAATCTCTAAAAATTCTTGGAAATACATTAAAAACGCCTGGAAATCTTTCTAATGTTTCAGAAGTCGTTTATATTCAGAAAATTATATCTCAGAAACTGTATAGAATATTTTTGGTAATTTTGGAAAATCTTAGATAGCTATAGATACTGAACATCTTAAAGCATTTTCATTTTCTGGGTGTGTTTGATAACTGCAGAAAATCTTTAGAAACTCCAGTGTAGCTTTGAGAATCATTACAAATCCTCTGGCAACACTTGGAAGTCCCAGAAAATCTCTGGAGACTCTGACAAATTTGAAAATTCTTTAAAACTTGAATGAATACATGACAATCACTGGAAATCCTAAGAAATTGTTTGTAACTTCAAAATATCTTTATAAATCTTTCTAACAATACTTGAAAACGCAACAAAATGTTTTGAAACTACTAATAATAGTGAAAATCTTTAGTGATCTTAGAAGAGGTTTTGAAATTCTTCATTATTTTCTGGAAATATCAGTAACCTGTGAAAACTCTTTGGAAATGCGTAAATATACCGTTGTGATGTCTTTAAAAATCATTTCGTTATTTTTTGAATATTTGAAACATATAGAAATTTCACAAGACTCTTTGAAACTTTTGGATATCTTTAGAAACCTTTGAGAGTTCGTGAAAAATCAGTGGATGTCATAGAAAATCCGTTGAAGACTTTCTTCTGGGAAGCATTGAAATTATTTAGAAATTCTGGATATTTTTTGATGATTATTGTTTGAGAAAAATCTTTAGAAAATAGAGATCCGTTTAGAAATGTTTGAAAACCTTTTGGGAATTCGTGTAATAATTCACCAGGAAGCATTTAGAAAATCAACGAAATTTTTAGATGTCTTTGAAAATCTTATAAATCTTCTGCCAATACTTGGAGATTCTGGAAAATCTTTAGAAAATAGGGATCCGTCTAGAAATCTTACAACACTTTTTGGAAATACGTGAAATAGTTTAAAACTTTTCAAATATCACCAGGAAGTATCCAGAAAATCAAAGAAATTTTTAGATGTCTTTGAAAACGCTTATAAATCTTCTGCCAATACTTGGAGATTCTGGAAAATCTTTAGAAAATAGGGATTCACTTAGAATTCTTCGTAAAATTTTCTAGAAATGTTTCGATATCCGCAGTTTCTGGGTATTTTTTGATGATTCTTGTTTGAGGAAAATAGAGATCCGTTTAGAAATGTTTGAAAACCTTTTGAGAATTCGTGTAATAATTTGAAACATTTCAAATATTACCAGGAAGTATCTAGAAGATCAAAGAAATTTTTAGATGTCTTTGAAAATCCTATAAATCATCTGCCAATACTTGGAGATTTTGGAAAATCTTTAGAAAATAGGGATTCGTTCAGAAATCTTTGAAAACTTTTTGGGAATTCGTGTAATAGTTTGAAACATTTCAAATATCACCAGGAAGCATTTAGAAAATCAACGAAATTTTTAGATGTCTTTGAAAATCTTATAAATCTTCTGCCAATACTTGGAGATTCTGGAAAATCTTTGAAAAATAGAGATACGTTTAGAAATCTTTGAAAACTTTTTGGGAANGGAATTAAAACTATTAAAATTCACGTTTGGGAGGACCATTTTATAAGATTAGTTACAAGTAATTTAATTAATATTTTTTACAATCATTAGTGAATTGAAAAATGTACTTAAAGTTATCTCAAAATTGTTTAGATATTTCTAAATATCTTAGAAAATCATCCTTTAAAGATTGTTTGACGCAAAAAACTTTTAGACATTTTTGCTAATTTTGGAAATTCTTAATTGTCTTTGGACAAGTTTGGAAATCATACAGATGTTTGAAATGCCTTAGAATGCGTTTAGACACTTTTGGAATCTCTTAGACCTCCCAGAATAACTTTGGAAATCCTTTAAAATATATGGAAATCCTTAGGAAATTGGTTAAAACTTCTCAGAAACTGTTTAGACACTTTCTGCTAATTTTGGAAGTTCTCAAATGTCTCTGGACAAGTTTGCAAATCGTAGAACTTCTTGGAAATATATGAAAACCCTCTGAAAATCTTTGAAATGTCTCAGAAAGCGTTCTTCTACGATAACTTCTAAGATATCTCTGAAAAATATTGGAAATTCACTAAAAATTTTTGAAAATATATAAATGTCCACTGGAAACTTTTGAAACGTATTAGAAAACGTTTAGACACTTTTTAATTATTTTGCAACTTCTTTAACATTTCGGAACAACATGAAAATCCAAATTAAAAGGTCTGGAAATCTTTGTAATGTTTCAGAAGTCGTTTAGACACGTTTTGATCATTGTGGAATTCCCTCTAAGAGTTCTTAAAAGTATATGAAAATCTTTTGGAAATCTTCAAAATATCTCAGAAACTGTTTAGACAATTTTTTGGTAATTTTGGAAACTCTTAGATATCTGTAAATAGTGAACATCTTAAAGCATTTCCTGGATGTATTTGATAACCGTAGAAAATGTTTAGAAACTCCAGTATAGCTTTGAAAATTATTACAAATCCTCTGACAATATTTGGAAGTCCCAGAAAATCTGTCGAGACTCTGAGAAATTATTTGAAAATTTTTTAAAACATGATTAAATACGTCATGATAAACACTGGATATCTTAAGAAATTATTTGAAACTTCAAAATATATTTATAAAACCTCACAATACTTGAAAACGCAACAAAATTTTTGTTACCTGTATCAGTAACCTGTAAAAACTTTTTGGAAATACGTAAATACACCTTTGTGATGTCTTTAAAAACCATTTAATATCTTTTTAATACTTAAAAACCCCAGAAGATTTTCTAAAATTGTTGGAAATATATAGAAATCTCACAAAACCCTTTGAAGCTTTTGGATCTCTTTAGAAACCTTTGAGAAATCGTGGAAAATAACTGGATGTCATAGAAAATCTGTTGAAGACTTTTGGCAACACTTGAGAAGCATTGAAATTATTTAGAAATTTCTGAATATTTTTAAAAATCGTTTAAATTCTTCTGGAAATATTTGGCCACTATAGAAAATCATCAGACAATTACCAGAAATTTCAAAAAGTCTTTGAAAATCTCCAGAAATATTTTGCCAATATTTTCAAATTCTTAACAATTTAACTATTTACTACATGTTAACAACTTTTGGATATTTTTGGAAATCTTTTGAATTAGTTAGAATCCATGGAAGATATTTACGCAGTTTTGTATATTGTTGGTAATGCTTTAAAACTTCTTTGAAACGTATGAAAATTGTTTGGGAAATCGTTTCTGAATATCTTCATACATTTTTTGAAATCTTTGAAGGTTTACAGAAATCTTCTGGGAATACTTAAAAATCCTAGAAAATCGTTGTGCTTTATTAAATATCATCGAACATCTTTAGAAATCTTCTGCAATATTTTAAAATTCCAGAAAATCTGTAAAAATTATAGAATATCTTTTGGAAATTCTCCAAACGACTAAGATATTTTTGGTTATGCTTCAAAACTATCTTTGGTATGTATGACAATCTTCTGGAAATCCTGGAAAATCGTTTAAGACTGTTGGGTATCTTGTTAAAATCTTCTGAAATCTTTGAAAATTCGTAGAAATCTTTGTGTATTATTAAATATCATCAAAAATCTTTAGAAATCTGCAATATTTTAAAATTCCAGAAAAATCTGTAAATATATTAGGATATATTTTGGAAATTCTCTAAACGACTACTTATGAATTTTTTTAAATCCATTGAAAGTGCTTGAAAATCCCGGGAAACCATTTAGACAGTTTTGGATATTTTTGGTTATGCAAAACTTTCTTTGAAATGTATGAAATCTTCTGGAAATCCTGGGAAATCGTTTAAGACTGTTGGGAACCTTGTTAAATCTTCTGAAATCTTTAAAAATTCGTAGAAATCTTTGTGCATATTAAATATCATCGAAAAGCTTTAGAAATTTTCTACAATATTTCAAAATTCCAGAAAAATCTATAATAATTGTAGAATATCTTTTGTAAATTCTCTAAACGACTATAATTTTCTTAAAAATCCCTTGAAAGTGCTTGGAAATCCCAGGAAAACATTTAGATAGTTTAGAATATTTTTGGTTATGCAAAACTTTCTTTGGAAAGCTTCTGGAAATCCCGGGGAATCGTTTAAGACTGTTGGGTATCTTGTTAAATTTTCTGAAATATTTGAAAATTCTTAGCAATCTTCTGGAAATACTTAGAAATTCCAGAAAATTGTTATGAATGACAGAAAATCTTTAGAAATCCTAAGAAATCTGTCAAAATTTCTCGTTCTTTTTGGAAATCTTTTGTAATCTTTGAAAACTTTTTGGGAATTCCTCAAACTGTTTGAAATAATTCAAATGTCACCAGGAAGTATCCAGAAAATCAAAGAAATTTTTAGATGTCTTCGAAAATGTTTATAAATCTTTTGCCAATACTTGAAGATTCTGGAAAATCGTTAGAAAATAGGGATCCACTTAGAATTCTCCGTAAAATTTTCTGGAAATGTTTCGAAATCCGCAATTTATGGATATTTTTGATGATTCTTGTTTGAGGAAAATCTTTAGAAAATAGAGATCCGTTTAGAAATGTTTGAAAACCTTTTGGGAATTCGTGTAATAGTTTGAAACATTTCAAATATCACCAGGAAGTACCCAGAAAATCAAAGAAATTTTTAGATGTCTTTGAAAATGCTTATAAATCTTCTGCCCATACTTGGAGATTCTGGAAAATCGTTGAAAAATAGAGATACCTTTAGAAATCTTTGAAAACTTTTTGGGAATACGTGTAATAGTTTGAAACATTGCAAACATCACCAGAAAGTACACAGAAAATCAAAGAAATTTTTAGATATCTTTGAAAATGCTTATAAATCTTCTGCCAATACTTGAAGATTCTGGAAAATCTTTAGAAAATAAGGATTCACTTAAAATTCTCAGTAAAATTTTCTGGAAATGTTTGGAAATCGCGAGAAATCGTCCGCAATTTCTTTTTGATGATTTTTTTAAGGAACAATTTATAAACATTTATTTAATTTTCAAATTAAGTACATTTTTCAACCCCTTTGTATAAAACAAACTAATAATTTTTTTTTAGAATTTCGGGATTCAGAAATAAAATATTTAAAAGGTCGAAAATACCTGGACGCATTGTGTGTTTACTTTTGGGCCACAACGCCCGTTTTAATTTCAATTTTAACATTCGTAACTTACGTTTTATTAGGAAACGAATTAACGGCGTCAAAGGTTTTCACCAGCATAGCCCTTTTAAATATGTTAATAGCACCGTTAAACGCTTTTCCTTGGGTTTTAAACGGAGTTACAGAAGCGTGGGTTTCATTAAAAAGAATTCAAAAGCTTTTAGATGTAAATATTAATTTTTTTAATTTATAATCAACATTATTCCGATTAAAATTTTAGCTTCCCGATTTAGATTTTGACGAGTACTACGATAACGAGTTAACGGAAAATGAGAATAACGCCGATGTAATTATTTCAAACGCTACTTTTTCTTGGGGAAAACCTTTAAGTAGGGAAGAAAAAGAAAAGTTACATAATATTAAAAGAAAACACATCAAAGATAAAGGTGTAGGAAAGAAATCTTCGAGTAATGAAGAATCCCCTTCGAGATCTAACATTGAAACGGGAGAATTTTTTTTGAGAAATTTAAATTTAAGAATTAATAAAGTAAAGTATTGATTTTTTTGGATTATTGGATTAATTTAATTTGATTAATTTACTTTAGGGTGAATTTATCGGTGTTATAGGAAGTGTGGGGAGTGGGAAATCATCGATTTTTTCAGCGATCCTCGGGGAATTAAATAAACAAAGTGGTTATGTTTCAATTTGCGACCCCGACGTCGGATTTGCTTTGGTAACCCAACAACCGTGGCTTCAAAGAGGTACAATAAGAGATAATATTCTTTTTGGGAAAGCTTACGATGAAAGTAAATACCTCGAGGTTATCGCCGGGTGTTGTCTCGGTGAAGATTTGGATCAATTACCGGCTGGAGATTTAACTGGGATAGGCGAAGGTGGAATGACTCTTTCCGGCGGTCAAAAAGCCCGAGTTGCTTTAGCGAGAGCTATATATCAAGATAAACAAATTTATCTCCTTGATGATGTTATCTCCGCTGTTGATGCTAAAGTTGCTAAAGATATTTATCAAAATTGTATTATGGGGATACTTAAAAATAAAACGAGAATATTATGTACTCACCACTTGAAATATCTTACTAAAGCAGATCGAGTTATTTTAATGGATAATGGAGAAATACAAAAACAAGGAAAACCGGTTGATGTTCTTAGAGGAATTGACGATGCCCTCCCCATTGATTTAGAATTAGGCGAAACGTCGTTAACAAATTCTGTTATGGAAAGTTTTAAATCGGAGGGAAATGATAACGAATCGAATGATAGTGTTTTAGAGGAAGAATTTCGTGAATCTGGAACCGTTCAATTCGGGGTTTATAAATCTTATTGGAAAGCAATAGGACATTTACTTAGTTTGTTAGTGATCCTTTCTTTGGTTACAATGCAAACGAGTCGGAATTTAACCGATTGGTGGCTTTCAATTTGGGTTACGAATTCCAACGAAAAAAACACGACAAATTTAACGCAACATTACGAAGATTACCACACAAATTCGTTTAAATTTGAGGGCGATTTGGAGGAATCGATTAAGTATTATATGTTAATTTATATCTTGTTGGCTTGTTTGAATTCGGTTTTTACATTGTGTCGGGCGTTTTTATTTGCATACGGAGGAATCGTTGCTGCTTTGAGTATTCATAAGAGTTTATTAAAAAATATAATGATTGTGAGTAAAAAAAATCGTGTAAAAGAATACATTTAATGTTTTTTTTTTATTTTAAAGGCGAAATCAATGTTTTTTGATGTTGAACCATTGGGAAGAATTTTAAATCGATTTTCGAGTGATACGTACACTGTGGATGATTCATTACCGTTTATATTAAATATACTTTTAGCCCAATTATTTGGTTTATTAGGTAATTATTATTTTTTATCTAAATATAGTAAAACCTCGATATAAACGGACCTTGTTAGAACTGACTTATATACGACGGATATAACGGATGAAATATTTTGAAGTCATTATTATTATTGCTGCCGGGCTGAGGGGAGTTACCGCGACCTATAAGATCTCTTGTAACTTTAGCCCACCAAAGGTTTAGGGCAAATGTAGGTCCTTGATAAACCTTAGTATTGAGGTCTTGAAGCTTTATGTCCGTAGGTGTCATCAAAACACTGCCTACCACCTTTAGGTATGAAGATCACCTTTACTTTCTTCCATAGTGTGGGTATATAGCTAAGGCTGTAGCTAGTTATACAGGGTGATTCAAAAAACCGCTGACAGACTTCTAGAGTAGATAATACATGAAAAATTAAGATAAATAGTCTTAATATACATGGGTTCGCAAATGCCTCGTTGGCGAGATATACCGGATCAAAATTTCTTTGAAATTAAACATTATCTGCAATAAAAAGTCTGTCAGCGGTTTTTTGAATCACCTGTATATAGGGATATTATTACTGGGAGTAGGTCTTCTAAGTAAAGTACTTGACAGCCATTTTTGCGACCTAAGTAAGGCTTTCGATTGTGTACAACATGATCTATTACTAAAGAAATTAGCTAAATATAACTTCGATTCTGGAAGCGTTACTTTAATAAAAACTTATTTAACTAATAGAACACAAATTGTAAACTGTCATGGTAACTTATATAAGAAAATGATCGTTAATACCGTGGTTCCTCAGGGGTCAATCCTGGGACATCTTCTTTTCTTAATTTACGTCAATGATTTAGCTAACAGCATTCACGGTGCGTCCGTAATCAGATATGCAGACGACACCACTTGAATCTGTAAAAGCAAGGATTCCCAGACTGCTTGTGATTTAGCTTATTTATCGAAGACTAATGCCGAGCTATGGTTTGCAATGAATAAATTGAGTCTGAATGAAAATAAAACAGTTGACTATTGTTGCTATGATTGATGTCTTGCGTTTGCTTTGTTATAATTATTATTATACTTGTCTATACGGTTATTGTACTACTGATTGATGAGTGTAACACTTGAATGTATTTGCACAATAAAGATATTATTATTAAGCCTTTTTGCAGAAAAATAGGCAGAATTCCATTTCCTTTTATTTAGGCGATTTTAGGGACTTGAAATTAGAAATAGCCCACCTTATTCTGTTGGGTGTAAAAATATTCCCAGCTATGCAGCGAACCCTACCTGATTGACGAGTTATGTCCACTACTTCAGGGTCGGCATCTGCGTAGGGGCAGACTTTTGAGGAAGTGTGTACTCAGTAGGAGCTCCAACGATTTCTAAGCATCCTCAGTGTATTTACCGTCTTGTTTGCATAGGTGGCCTAGATCAGTGTTGTGATCTTTTGCCAAGATCTTATGCAGACGAGCAACTGTAGGCGTATTGTCTATGCCTTCACAGAAGCTGCGCCAGGTTTTTCTTTTGGCTATATGGATAACCAAGTTATATTCGGTTAGGACTTTCCTATAGAGGTCCCATAAGGTGCCTAACTTTATTATATAGTCTTCTTCACCATAACTCGCTGTTTTTTAAGGTCCTTATTCCACCAAGGCTCATTGAATTGTGCTCTTTTGTGTTTTATTGGACAGCTAGATTCATATGCACTATGTATGAGATTGTTTAGTTGAAAAGAGGCTATTTCGAAATCCTCTCTGCTTTCAATATTTGTTTTGATTTCGTCGACCTCTTCGCTGATGTGTCTACAAAAAGAACACCAATCAGTGAGTGAGGGGATTCTGAATTCTGTTTGTTTTGTCATGTCTGCTACAATGACAAAGCGAATATGCTTGTAATCCGCTAAAGTAATTTCACGTGAAACATGCCAGTTTGCGATTTGCGAACTAAGTCGGAACTAACTCTTGGTAACAAAAGTCGGTTCGTTACTTCTGTTGAGGATATCTAAATTTGTACTTTGTAAGTATTGGTAAAGGTATTTTTAAGTCATACTCTTGATATTATTAACTGATGTTTAATACAAATACATCAGTGCTCATAGATAGAATCCAACTCGGGTTATTCCCCTAATTGCTCTATTCCATGTTTATAGATATAATCGGGATATTTCGCGAGCTGTCTATACTACTGTTAGTTCTAGTTTTAGTTGTTATTCAGCGCTGACGTCACGAACGGGCCTTCGAGCTGTGCACCTATTATGTAGCCTTCTTAGATTCTACCGTCTTTGGTATAAATATAAAGCCACATAGACTGAACGCAACGTTATCCGACTTTGTATGCATTAAAATTATTCATATAACGGACTTTTGACTATAACGAACACTCTCGCCCCGTATTAATCCGTTATATCGAGGTTTTTTTTTTCACTAATAATTAATTTCTAGGTAGCGTAATTATAACAATATATGGGTTACCTTGGTTGTGTTTAGTACTAATCCCATTAATCCCCATTTACCATTGGCTCCAAAACCATTATAGATTAACCTCAAGGGAATTGAAGAGACTATCAAGCGTTACGCTATCGCCTGTTTACAGTCATTTTAACGAGTCATTACAAGGTAAGTGTCGTTTTTTAATCTTGGGGGAACTTTCTAGACTTCATTTCATATTCATAACATCCCAAAGCTGACAGAATTTTAATTACCTCCAGGTCTGGCGGTCATTAGATCTTTTAGAACCACCGGTAGATTTAAAAGGGACAACGAAGACTACGTTGAAGTTAACCAAAAAACTCAATTGGCTTCACAAGCAGCCGCTCAATGGTTAGGGTTACGACTCCAATTTATCGGAGTTGCAATGGTTACAGGAGTGGTTATAATCGCGGTTATTCAACATCAATTTGATGTCGCCGATCCCGGTTTAGTTGGATTAGCGATAACTTACGCTCTGTCGGTAACAGCTCTTTTAAACGGAGTCGTAAACGCTTTTACAGAAACAGAAAGGGAAATGATTGCTGTTGAAAGAGTTAATCGATACGTGGAGATTGTTATTAGTGAAAATTCTAATTTTATAACTGATCCCCCTTATGCTTGGCCAAGTCAAGGTGTAATCGCCTTTGAAGATGTTGTATTAAATTATCGAAGAAATTTACCACCTTCATTAAAAGGGGTTAATTTTAAAACCAGACCCGCTGAAAAAATTGGTGTTGTTGGGAGAACCGGTGCGGGCAAAACAAGTCTCTTTACCTCATTATTTAGGTTATGTGAAATAACCTCAGGGAAAATAACGATAGACTCAATAGATATCTCTCATATATCATTAAGAGCGTTACGTTCAAGGTTGTCTTGTATTCCCCAAGATCCGTTTTTATTTAGCGGAAGTTTAAGGGATAATTTAGATCCGTTAAATGAGTATCGAGATACAGAAATTTGGACTGCGATTAATAATGCTAATTTACTAGCGACTGTGAGGAGATTAGGTGGATTGGAGGCGGAAGTTGCTACTGGGGGTAGTAATTTATCATCTGGTCAAAGACAACTTGTCTGTTTAGCAAGAGCTTTACTTCATAACGCTAAAGTAAAAAAAAATTTTACAAAAAATTCACAATTTTAACAAATTTTTTAATTATAGATTTTATGTATCGATGAAGCCACTGCAAATATAGATCAAACAACTGATAGACAAATACAAAACACTTTACGTACAGCTTTCAGAAAAAGCACTGTGATTACAATTGCGCACCGAGTGCAAACAGTGATAGATTACGATAGGGTTTTAGTGATGAAAGATGGTGTCGTTTTGGAATTTGACAAACCCGATGTGCTCCTTGAAGACTCTACTACATATTTTTACCAGTTAGTGAATGCAGAATAAAAAAATGTTTTTATACAACTTTGCTAAATGTTTAAATGTATTAATTATCGTTTAATAAAAGTAATTATTTCAATGTATTCAAAACTTTTATTCATAAGATGTGTTTTATTTTTTCAATATAAGAGTTTTAGCCGGTTGGAATTGGGCCCGCGGGCTTGATTCAACGTTTCTAAAGCGCCCTCCAAGTTCCCATTGTTAAAATAACAACCAAGTCGAGCTTTGGCGGTCGTATAATGTCCTCATTAATTTAAAATTACGCACGTCCACGAAGAGTTTGCGTACAACTAGTAAGAAGTTTTGTTATTCTAGTTTCTAGTGGCTCATGTAGAGTTCATTTTAATTAGGATGTATTCATAGAAATTAAAAAAAATAACATTTTAACTAGTATAAATAAAAATTTTCTTTAATACTTCTATTCATAAACATCAAAATTAATTTTTTTTATTAAAAAAAATTTTAATTAAAGCCTTTTAATTCTTTTTAGCTATGAAGTATCTTAGCTTTAGGTTTCTCGTGTTTGGAAAATGTTTTGTATTATTTTTTTGGTTATTTCTTTCTATCTCAATTTTAATTAGTCCAAGTCTTTGCCACAAAAATGTGGCTCAAGGTGAATAGACGCAGATGGAAAGCGATAATGTGAAAGTGTAACAAAGATAGACATAAAACGGTACTAAACAGACGGGCGCATGCGCACAAAAGTGTCAAACCTCTTCCATTTGATGTATATCGTTTTGTTGTGTCACAGCCAGTCACACCGTTATGTTTAAAAATGTATTGTTTCGTGTGCAAAGTTCGCGATAATACAGTTTCACATCACCTGTAAGTATTATAAATAATAAGGAAATTTTATTTTATTTTATTTTTTTTCTTTTTTCATTTATTAATTTTGTTTTAAATTTACCGCCAAAATTAACGCACGCTCATTATATGTCAGTACGCTTCTATGTCTATCTCGGTTCGATCACCTTGCGCAAGCTATCTCTCTCGTTGGCTCAATCCATATTATATATAATCAAAGGTCCAAGAAGAAGTCCAAATCAAGAAAATAGCATCTAAAAATAATAAACAAATTATGTTTTTGAAAATATGTTTTAATGACGTGGCTAACTCCTGAGGATGATTGAAGTATAGCAATCGAAACCGGTAGAGGCGACAATAAAAACAGCCATCTTTAAAATACACATAGGTTTCTTTTAATACTAAACGTTTTGTAGTTTCGAATATGCCTGTTCCAAAATCATTCTTGGTAATTCTCAGTTACGGAATTTTAGGACACCTGATCGTCACCTGTCATGATCATCTTTTTCATATTCTCAGTTGGATATCTCCAATTTGCTGCCATGTGAAACATTCGCCCGCTATTCTACCATTTTCAAATTATGGCACATACAGCTCAGCAAATCCATGTTGGCCGATCAGTTGCGCAGAAGAAAAAGTGTGACGACAAACCGTCGAAACACTCGTCAAAAAAATGTTTGGGAAATCTTATTTTAATGGATGATGATCATGTAGGTCCTCTCAGTTTGATGCCAGTATCATCTTTAGTAATAATTGCCAACAATATGTAATATACAACTACAGAACTTAGATCTCGAAACCAAAGAATCAGTGAATCAGTGAATGTGGCAAAAACTTGTTTCACTTAAGAATCGACTTTGGGGAAATCCCAGCTTTACCTGGGCAGTAGACGCAGATAAAGCCGTGATCAGTACCAACCAAGAGTAAAGTCGATTTTTGAAATTTCATCGTCCTTAGTCAAAGTGAACATTTATCCCCGAAACTGGTGCCAGTAAAAAAGCTAAAAATTGGAAAACATATCAAGAGAATGGAGTAACATATAAAATACTGAAGAAATACCATAACATCGTTCGGGTGGAATATCTAGAAGCAGGAAAGACACTGCCAGCTATCCATCAGCGAAATTTTTGGATGGGATAGCTAACACTTCATGAAAGATACTGGCATATTTGATGGGACCTTATATTAAATCTATTGAGTTGAAGTTTTCTCCGAAGCTTCAATGTGTTGATTAGTTTTAGGTTAATATTATTTTATTGCAAACCAGCTTTTTGAAATCAAAATACAATCTTGTATAACGTCTGCAATACTACCATTATAGAAGCACTGACTGCACTCGCTTTGGGATATAAATTCTGACATCCTGAAATAGATGGGTCTACATTGAGAAGGACAGGATCCTCAACAACCCGAAGACACACGTGAACGCTATAAACAAGGCTATTTGCGACAACGATATCTAGGACAACAATTAACACCGGTGTGTTTAAAAACCGAGATAATGAGGTTGAAGACTAGAAGGAACATAAAGGGTGAGTTATATTAGTAGTATCGGAAAGTTGATAGTTATTAAATTGTTTGAAGAGAAAAAATATTTTTTACAAAAGTAGTTTTACTCACCACTTTTTATAACGTAAAATTATTTTCATTCCTACAGGGTGTTCCATTTAGGCGTAACGGCAAATATGTTAATTTTCTTTAATGGAACACCCTGTATGTTTTATCATATAACTGTTGCAAATTTACAGCGTTACTAATTCCTGGGATATTCAATTGTTTCCAAAATATGTTCGTTGCAGGATCTCGTTGTAGGAAACGATGTAAAAATGACATTTTTACCTTTAAACTATGTCAGATAATAGTCAAAGTCATACCTAGGAGTAATCTTAGACAAAACCCTCTCATGGAATGGACATTTGCAGAGAGTTTTACACAAAGCATAGTATAGAAAAGCCCGTAAAAGAAGTATAGGAAAGCCCGACAGTATGGCAGTCAGGTTATGGGACACCTGTATATTTTATGTAACATCAATTACATGTCGGGTGCAGTCCAATAGTCTTAACGAACCTTAATGTTTGAGTCAAAGCCAGTAGGTAGATGATACTATTCAAAGATATTAGATACACTATAAACTACTTTATTAACTGATAAACTGTTTGAATGTAATTTGTTTATGCAGTTAAAAAAATTCATAAAAAGAGAAATTAACTTAGTGCATGCTCTGTCTATTCCAAGTTTTATTCGTAGTCCCGTTCGAACTTGCTACACGCTCACGCGCATTTCCTGTGAAGTGTGTCCAAAAGCCATAACTGATGGGAACAACGCGTACATACACCTGTTCAATGCGAACCCGTTCAAACCGGCATTTCATCCGCCATTCGGTTCGGTTCTTTTTTCGATAAAATATTCAAATCTACCTACATTTAAATATAAGCAGAGTTGTATAAGCGACTATTGCATAATTTTTTTCGGTGCTGTGGGGTAGAGCTAAATATCTAAATGGACGTGATCATAAAGTCTTTGTGTTATAAACTGAGTCGTGCTTTCCAAAAGATTCTTTTAGTACTTTTAGAGTCAAATTAAAATCAATTTAAGACAACACAACTCTGTGTCAGCCAATTCCATCAATACTAGACTTCAGTAAAGCGCTCGATCATGTCACCCATCATTTTCAATTAATTAAGTTGACTGCGTTTGATATTGACAATTGTCGATTTGGACTATCTTGAGTGTACATAAAAAAATATTTGTATAAATCACATTAATTTTCGTAGTATAAAAAGATTCATTACGATTCATTTCATTCGGTCGAATAAAACATATTAAACATTCAACATCTGCACGAACGTTAGAAAAGAGCCGGTTGTAAAATGACTTTTATGACCGTTTTATGTATGAACTTCATAAAGCACCGTTAAGGTGAAATCCTAACTTAAGCGTCGATTTAAACTTTTACGTTTTATATCATCTCCTCTCCAGCAGCTTGATGAGTCTTCGCGTCGAAGAATAACCGCGTAAAATTGATATATTTAACAAAATATGTCGTGGTCTTTACGAATCTTTAAGCCGATTACGAAACGTTCTCATCTCGTTGACTGTTATCCTCGTTCGAGGTGACGGTGCGATAATCCGCATCCGATATTTCTACGTCCGGTAAACGCGGAATTAACAACCAAAAGGAGCTGACGCGAGAACTCGACCATAATCTCCTTTCAGAGTTGTTCGATTCCCCGTCTACATGGCCCTCTTGAGGCTGAAACTTATTCATGCCGGGGACAATGGAGTTCGCGGTGCGAGGGTCCGAAGAGGGCCACCATCACCGCGAACCTTCGCAATATGTGAAATGAGTGTGCCTCGCTGCGTAAGCGCACCACGTCTGTCGGGATTAACATGGGGTGATCTTTTCCCCCCATATACTCAGGTAACACCACCACCGCTGCATATCCGTAGACAACAAATACGAGAGGCTACAGCCACTCACAAAGATTGTTAACCGTCTATTCAAGTGGATCTATCAAGATGAGGACGTGGCCAATTTTTTTTTTTTTATCTTGAAATGAAAAAAGGATTTCTTTTAAAGTGATATAAAATGAAATTGATTAGATTCAAGTAAAAAAAGAAAACATTCTTGGTAACTAAATACAGTCAAGCTTTTAATTTAGGGGAAATAATACTACATGACCATCGAATGTAATAGATTATCGATGTATTAGGTATCTTCTTAGGCACTTGTGGGTTGTCTCGAGGACAACGACGGTGTCGTGTTCGTGAAGATTGGTTTACAAGAATTGAGCAATCAATATAGCGATGGTTCGGAATTTGTTAGTTAAAACGCGCTTTGGAATAAGCGGGTCCAGCAAAAGCGTTCCGGACACAAAAGACCGAATGTAAAAGGGGGTTTGGTTTGCTCGATGTTGCGCGACAGTCCACGAGCCTTCCCCGCGTTTCAACGGCGCGGGGGCCCTAAAGAGTCGCTCTTCTCTTTCGCTTACTCCGCGTCCTGCCATCGCGCAGAGAACTTGTTCGGATATAACGACCAATTCGCGGCATAATTTTGAAACTAACACGATTTCGCGTCAAAACATTTAAGGTTCCTTTCTAATCAAAATATGAATCATAAAATTTATGCTTATAAAAAAAAGTTTTTTTTTAATTATTGAAATTATTAAAACAATTTAATTATTATTGTGTTTTGAGTGATGAAAGAGTTTTTTTTAATGATGCTGTGGCGAATAGAAAATAAAACAGATATCGTGCAACAACAACAACAACCACGGTTCTTCATCAACACTTTCTAATTGGTTCTTTTTGTCGGTTTGGTTCTTAGGTAAGAGTTAAGAGTTACGTATTTCTCACCTTTCCCAATGTAACTTTGCGGTGTATTACCCGAGACGTATCGGATTGTGATATATATTATAACGTGGATGGAAATTCCTTTTAACTCTCCTAAGTAAAACGCAAACGGACGGAATGCAGTAAAGGCAAAGGCGTGTACTCTCTAGACTGACAAGTAAAGTTGTGGTAATGCAAAAATCCGAACCTGAACCAGATCAACTTTCAATTTTATAACAACCTCACTTGCTTAGTGCACCTGTATGATCAAGATTAATGATGTAATGCAAATGAGAAAAAAAAATTGTTGTTAACCGGTTTTACCAATTAACTATCTTCAGATTCTTTTAAACATTTAAAAAAAAAACAAGTTCAAGGTATCAAATACAACAACCTATTTACTTAAAAACAAGTTCAAAGTTCTATTTTTAAAAGAACCCGGGTGTAGTAAAAAGACGCATGATATACACTCATCGACTACATACGGGTCCTGTGTATGTTTTGAAAGAAGCAGATGCAGTCTCGACTGATATACAACCCGAAGGTTGAGTCGTAGTTAATTTTGGACAAATTTTACACTTTACGACTACGGCTAGTTTGTATAAACTATTTATGGTCTTCTTCCGTTATAAAATATTCAAAAAAATGATTTTGTGATGAGTACAAAACCTCGTATATTATATTAATTGCAGTTAAGTAACGTAACGTGTTAGTTTTGGACCGTCGTCAATCATGGTTAATGCAAATTTTAAAAGCCCACTACCATTTCGTGCACCCTTTTACAGTGCAGGTCCTTCCTCACCCCTTTTTATCCCCTGCAACATGGAGGGTAACGAATTAATAAAAATAAAAAAGAAATAATGCATTGGAATTATATGCGTAAAATATGTTTATGCCCGTAAACAATTAATTATTCATGATATCTGCTCATTAACAGACCGCCACGACTGGTGATTAATCAAAATTTTTGCAATATAAACGGTAATTGTTAGTTATTATTCAAAATTAAATGAAGATTAATAATAAAAATGACCGAAATAATTCAGCAATTTTGAGATTTCAATGCAAATCTTTATCTGTTTCATATTAGAGATGTGACATCGTCATATATCATTGCTTAGACGGGTTATGCACGAGATGTAATAAATCAGACGTAAAGCTGTTCAAATTTCAAATAAGCTGCATGAAAAGAGAGTGAGAGAGAGATTGTGTGTCTATGTCGTCGTAACAGGACGTGTGTTTATCTTTTATCCCATTTTAGAGGGGGAACAAAACTTAAGCTCACTACATTTTATACTGTTAATCTAAAGATTTATTACTATTTATAGATAAATTGGTTTTTGTTGGAACAGCTGTGAATATGCATTTGGAACTAATTAATTTAATACAATTTAAATTGATTTATACGCACTTTTCGGTGATTTTGGCTGAATAATATCCTTTTCCTCCTTTTAGAACAGGTTAATTTCGTTATGTCACTGTCAAATCTGTCAATTACGAATCTATTAGTGATACCAACATAACGATATTTATTTTTTCAATGTATTTTTAGAAACAATTATAAAAATCAATACTTAATTTTCAATTCTAATTGGATTAAATACATGTTTTTAATTAATATAGTTTTTTTATTAACAAATTAGCTTCATTTAAATTTTTATAAAGACAATTCTCTGCGACCATCTATTATCATCAATTTGAACTATAATCAATAAATTTTGATTAATCTTATTATGATTCTTGCTTTTTTTATAAACATTAAATAAACATTTTATTATCGATTTTAGATAAAAATCATTTTAAAATTATGTTTATGAATTAAATTAATAGATATTTTTATTGTTGGTATTAAATGAAATTTATCAACCGATTGTCAAATGTCAAAAAAGTGTCATTCCGTAAAATTTTAATCATAATGTAACATATTAAGATTTATCATAAATCGCAATGTAAGGCGATATAAAAAGAAAATAATCATCTTATTAAAGGTAAAGCTTGAGTTTTTAAGTTATCAAGATTAAACGAATTACAAGCAAATCCATAAATAAGAATTAACCAACTCAGTACTTATTACTACCCGTTCTACTAATTTATCGTACCTTTCGTTAATTTTTGTTGAGTAATATCAATATGATTTGTTTGTTGCGGCTGTCAGTGTCAAAACCGTAAGTAATACCAACCTAAAAATGTTATTTTTTTGCAATGTACTTTTGCTTCGTTTCATTGTATTAAAAAAAAAATTATATTTCATTTACATGATTCAAGTAAATATTTTTAATTAATACTTGATCATTACCTCCTGACATCTATTATCATAAATCCGTACTATGCATATTATAATTTATTTATACAGGTGTCTCCAAAATGCGTGTACAACGGAAGGTGTCAGATTCCTTGGCTCAAAATAGGTCAATTTCAGTTATGTTATCTATATCTAAAATTGCTTCTTAAATCAGGGCTAACTACGATGAGGTTTTGTAATTGCAATGACGTAAACAACGCTTGCAGATATTTAAAAATACCTTTTTTTCTGACTTAACCAGTTACGTAATCAAAATCTTATAAGAGACATAACGTTTCAGAACTAAATGGGCTATTCAGAAATAATAATAATGTAATTGTCGCCCGACGAATAAAAAAAATGTCAATTTTTTGACAAACATTTTTAGAGCTGACAACGGCGTAATTTCAGCGCCCACCTTGATTGTAATTTGCTGATTTAATATTTTCATAAAACGTATTTTTTCTCGATTTCTTTCTGATACAACCATATGATGTGATATGTTCGACACATAGAGGGATTTATCCTCTACCAAAATGTGCAGGAAAAACATATGCATTCCATTTATAATAACAATGTTAGTTGCCATAGCAACGAAACAAAAAACAATGCAAACAAGCAAAAATCGCCAAAAAATGCGTCACAGTTAATAAAAAAACTTTCATTTGAAACATTTTTCTTTAAAACCACAAATGGCGAAGTTATTAGCTATATTCCGGACATTTGATACACCTGTATATTATTTCAGTTTATAGCGTTTTCCGCCTTTCGATTGCAAATCTCCAGCCTTTGCGGTCATCCGAGTCCCCTGGTGCCAGATTTTTTCTTGGACCCATTCTTTGAACGTAGCCGTACCATTGGAACTGTTTTCTTTCGACTTCGTCGATTATCGTTGTTCGATTATCATCTCTCGTATCTCGGTATTTCGCACTTGATCTCTCCAGTTTAACTCTTCTCCAGAAATCAATTTCAACTGCCAGTTCTCTATTTGTTTATTTAATTGCCAGATTTCGCATCAGTATAGCGCCACGAGGATGAAGATAGTGGAATATAGTTGTTGTTTTCTTTTTTTTTGAGATCTTTTTTGCCCAAAGAAGGGAGTTTATGGCTTTTGTTATGTTTTTGCCCCGTTGTAGTCGGCTTCGTATTTCTGCTTCACAACTTCTACTGTGGTCCATCTTAGTTCCACGGTGTATGTTTCTCCGCCCACGCAAAGATACTGTGTTTTTACTACATTCGTAACCAAGCCCCACCGGTCGTATACTTCGATTAATTTTCTTCCCATATATTCAAGATGTTTTTCGTCCTGGGTTACTACCACCTGGTTGTCAGCAAAATATAGGCTGTACGATGTTGTTTGTTCATCAAGGTCTACGTCTATCCCGCTACATTTCTTTCTCCATTTTTCAAGAACAATCTGCACATATATGTTAACTAATAGAGGTGATAGTGTGCATCCTTGTCGGAGGCCTTTGGTGATGTTGAAGCTTTCTGATATTTGTTTGTTTATCTTTACTGATGCTTCTGCCCCTGTGTGTACTTCGTGTACCGCCTTCATTAACGTGACATATGCCTTGGTGAGATCCACAAATAAGAGATGTGTTGTTCTTCCTGTGGCTACTTTCTTCTCTATGATTTGGTTTAGACTGAATATATTAGCGCTCAGAATCCCGCTTGTTCTTCCATTTCACATGGTGCCTATTCTTCTAGTATCAAATTTTTCACTATTTGACCGTATAGTTTGCTTTAGGAATTTGTGACTATTAGACATCGGTAGTTACTTTTTTCTATGTTCTTTTTTATGGATTCATGTTATTCACCCTTACTTCCAAGCCTTTCAAATTTCTTCGCCATTTGCAAAGTCTTGAAAGATATCTGCCAATATTTCTCCATTTGAATCCTCTCTGGACCACTTGTGTTGTTATTTTTCATTGCCTTTAGTGCTTTTTTATCTGATCTGCTTTTATTTCTATCGCAGGATCTTTTATTTTATGTGTTTCTGGGGTTTGTGTTATGAAGTGAGGTCTTTGTTCTGTCAATTCGCTTCAATGTTCTTTCCAAACTGATACAGGTATGAGTGGTATGTTTAATTTTTCATTGTTATTGTTTTTTAAGGATCGTACTAGGCTCCAAGCCAATCACGCTCGTGATTCCACTAAGTATGTGTCTACTTCTTTACACTTTTTGTCGCATGTTAGCCTCGTTCCCTGGTGTAACCTGATTCGGCTATTTCTGGTATGCTATTTGTTTTATCTCTTTTTGCTTTTGCAGGGCTTCCTTCCATATAATTTTGTTGTTCCTTTGTTTTTCACCTATGGCTTCCTTGGCTGCTTGCGTCAAGGATCGCTAAGTATGTTTGGACTGCGTTTTGCTCCCTTATTAATTTATTTAATTTAGTATTAATTATTTATTTAACTATGATTGTTGTAGTTTTATGTCCATAAAACCGCCGGTAAAGGAAAATCAAACTAACAAAATAATTTAACGAACAAAAACGAAAACCGAATCAACAACGTACTTAGTACGTTCGACAAACACTATAAACTCGTCGATTTGGATTGACGTGGAAATGAAAGCAATGTGTGTACGGGTATAACCGTAAAAATAAATCACATTGAGCGTCGGTTGGCGACAACGACGAGGACCAAAAGGTCGCCCCCTAAAACGTTCGTCCGATATCGGATTGAAATTTGTTTTGCCGGGTTGCGGAGCCG